CAAAAACAATCTCCTGACATGTATTCAGCTAACAAATTGTAATACGTGCATGAACAATAGTTTTCTGGGTACACGTGGGATGTCCAGAATGGGCAGGTTGCCTCAAAGATTTTTATTTTTAGCCTTACGTGTTACGACAACAGCGCTTTGTTGAAACGTAAGCTGGCTAGGGGGTTTGCTAGAGTTTCAGAAGGGTCTTTATTGTTTCTGAGGCTGTGAATACATTACGACACAATTTAATCCAATCCGCGGTTTGCAATTCGGAGTAAGTAAGAGTTGTTTTCTAATTCTGGATGGCCCAAGCTTTTATTATAGGATAAAAACTTACGACTATTTATTAGCGTGTGAGAGACATGCAACAAGGATAATGTCACGAATACAAAATATCTTCTAATATTTGATCAATCATATATATATCCGTTCGAGTTGTCTGGGTGAATACGCATACAGACAAATGTTCATGTTGAAAGAAGTAAGCTTTTGTGGTCGATACATAATGAAAAGGATCAAATTAAACTTAATGCAATACTAACATTTGATAAACTTTTAAAGTCACTTCTCGGTTACTTTAGGTAGACAACAAGACAAAAGTTTTCGGAAGCACTTCACTTCAGCGATAACAAGAAAGCTAGCTTTTCGTCAAAGGATTCGTGGACAAACTTCGATTAATACCGGCAGTGGAAAACAGGGGAGGCAACCGGACTCCGAAGATTAGTAAAGTCAATGGGTGCACGAAGCGAACTAAAAACGAGGTGACCTTTGCTAAGAAAAACCCAAATAGTTGAACATTTAAATTTTTTTGTTAAATTAAGTCAGAATGCCTGATGGAGTTCTGACCGTCTTTGCCATAGCTCAAGAAAAGTCGTCTGGCTTGTTTCAAATATTAGCCGCTCAGAGAGTTCTGACAGGTCCTGAACATATCCGGATGCTCTGTGCTGAGTATTCTATTAAATGGCTGAGCGCATTGGTGGAATACATCCAATTGAGATGTACATTCTTATTAACGTAATGTCATATATCCCAGTTTTCATTTGGAGTCATTAGATCTAGCAGGCATATAAGCAGTTTTTGTTACATTATCATTTTAGTACTATCTCGGAGCAAACAGTCTCATAGATCATTAAGATTACCGAATAGAAGGCAACATTCTCTATTGGTAGACGAGAAAAAACATGCGAATGTCCTTCTCTAAACATAGGAAGCATTTTCGCGTGAAATGGGTAACCGCGTGTGCAACTAGGCCGACGTGCCATATCAAAAGCGGATTGTAGAACCAGGGTAAATGTTCTGTAAGAAAGCTTCGCAAACTAAACTCGTGTACACGTATATATATATATATATAAGTTGCAAATATGTTTTAAAGCAGACATACTTTCACACAACTACTTGTTTTTCGCGTCTTTCGACATCTTAGAACTGCGCAATTGAAATTGTTTTTCAAACGCCTGAGGCGTTCGAGCGTTACGGAGGAACGAAGATAATGCTTTCTACAGAATAGAAATTGTTCATTGACACGGTATGAGGGGTTCTTAGGTGTTATTCGCCGCTCTGTGAGAGGCTGTAGAGTAAAACTGCACGCCTTCTAGATTCGTATGACAAAAGGTGTGCTACAGCAATATTTGTACCTATTTCACACTCATTTTTAAGCCCGTTCATTTAGGGCGTAAAAGCTCATTGTGCAGAGAGAAACAGTCGAACATAGGAAATGCTTGAGCAGAAAAAAAAAACACTCGAGACGCGTGTCAAACTCGCAGCGTACTTACGATTACATAATGACATTGCCTGTCGCAAACTGTGGCAATCATTATAATGCATGATATAAAGAAACCTGAGCCAACATCGTTGAAACTGAAAACTTCATACACGCCTTAGTATGGTATCGAGCGACCTGCCATCGACCAAGGGGAACCTTCTCCCTTAACTTCCTGTTTAAAGCAGCGAGGGACGGCTTAAAGGAAAACCACTGTTGCATCGTCAGTCAAACAGCTTATTTTCAGCCAGCAAGAACGTGGATGTCAGTATTATTCACTTTCTTCAATCAAAAGTTTTTCCTTCTGATTGGGAAAGATAAGCTTCTGATTGAAGTTTTGATATAAGTACATGAAGACCAGTCAGCCGAAACCACTGGTGTTTTCAACAGAACTAATAAAAGCCATACCTTTTTCTCCTTTGTCCTTGTACCGCTCTTTCGCTTTTCAACGCTATATATAGAAATGTGTGATATAAAGACCCTTGGCTACCGGTAGTTTCTCTTCAAAACTCGGATCCTTTTTAAGGCTGCTGCGGAAACGCGGACATGGCTTAGTGCCTACATGGAATATTTTTTAACACACAAGAACGTGTGACGCTGGTTTGGGCATGAAGCAGACAACATGGGCCCGAACCCCTACAGTCACTGTACGATTACGACTGTTCTGCTACTCTGTTCTGGCTGGCCACGCCGTGGTCATTGAGTCAATATACACGCGTTAACAGAGCTGCAAACACACGCGTACGGGACTGCCCTTATTGTATGCGTCTCGCATCTACATTATTGGCTTATCCATTTTGTGGAAAATGCACATGTCTCGGCCTCTTTACTAATTCGTTAACTAAGTTGCAGGTTTCCTTTCTTCTAATCTTCATTGCGCAAAAGCCTGGAAACTTTATCCATTGTCGGTAAAGTTTCACTATGCTAGCAAACGTCGCTTCTAAAAGAAACGGTGCCGGTTTAGCGGCGTCTGCTAGCTATATATATATATATATATATAGCTATATAAAATATTAATGAGCAATATTTCAGTTTCAAGATAATATAGGAAACAGTTGATGCTTGCTTAAATTCTTTAATGATACAGCCTAAAGCTCACACATCATAGCGGTCGAAATCTTTCCGAGTTCCTTGCACTGCCAGTTAAACGCTATTGACATAATTATAGCTTACAATCCACTTCTACGAAACAGCTTCCTATGTCAGTTGCAGTTCGCAAACGGGCATGCTAGACGGTTTTTTTTTATAATATGCTGGATTATCGATTTTAGGGGACAAATTGAGTGTTATAATATAGAACAATGAATGCAAACTTAAGCAGAACTAATTTTATCTGGAAACATAGTAAAGCACAGGTAAGCAGTTCGAAAATCCTAGGAAGTATCGATGTCCGTATCCGTGCATGCGCGTGCCTGCTCAAAATAGAGAACCTAACGATGCGACTTCAAAGTATTCATGCCTCCACTTTTGGCAAAGGCTGTCAATACGGAAGACGTGTACATGCTTCGAAACGCTGCTCTTCGAAGCATTGTCAGTCTAATATATTTACATGATATTTAACAGTAAGGTGTCAATACCACATCACTTCTGGCACCTTACTCTGATGACGAACTCTCTGAAATTTCGACTCAAACTTGTTTGCCAAATGCGTCTAAATTTACTCTGACAGATGACACTATTTTATAGTAATATTCACTGTAATGAAACTAAGTAAGCCTTTCAGATAGTTACGAAATAGCGTGAAGCAGGCTCACGAGCGCTTCATCAAACAAACTCCCAACATGTCAATCTTACGTAATTGTACACATGCTCATGTCAGCATAAAACAACAGAAGAAGACAAGTCGTTCTGATAGGCTCAAATCTTCTGTACCCACTGATAAGAATATGATGAGTCTAGTTTCGATGATTCGAAAATTGAGCGTACGTTTGAGTATCGGCGCCTTAATTATCATGCAAGAAATTACGGCGCAAGACATGCTGGCTTCTTCCTCACAAATGTCATGATAATAACGTGCATTGAGAGGTAAACAAAGCAGATAGCGGCTGGTTAGTTTCACCTGATCCATTAGTCCAGATATCTCGAATATCATATACATCGAATATTTTTAATATTTAGTAATGACAGACCTGCCTAGTGCAAATAGCAGCGCTGCATGCAGAAGATAGCACCTATTGAACTGGCCAAATTTCAGCGAAAAGATCTGGGAACGAACGAGAAACCGCAAAACACTCAGTTCATTATTAGAAGCCTTTTCCCAACCTCTGGGTATTGCGAAAGCGCCATACTACCATTGATTACCGTGTAAATAAACATTATTTTTCTATCTCTAACGTAATTAATATCTATTGATTAGGGATTCATTAGGTGCAAACGAATGCAGATGTAGGTGACTCAGCTCCTCATTGACCAGATGCAAAAGGATGTTTTCGAAAACTGCTTATACAAGTATGAAGTGTACCAGTAAGAGGCATAGGCCATCCTGGATTAGCGTTGGCACTCCTATTGTAAAAGCAACAAACGATGACTAATAACTTAATGTATCTCGATCAAAACTTTGGTGCTAAAAAAGAATTCCAACGCTAAAGATCAAACATGTAGTCGATTTATTTTTTAATAGCTATCTGGCATTTTATATACTCTTCGAATATAGTTCTGATAACGTTATACACGTTCGAGTCAAGGAAAAAACGAACTACTGAATGCAAAAGCTGTTAACATAGTAACAACCGTTAGGGCTCAAAGTGGATTCACAAACCACGTAGATTAGAATTGAATCTGATCTTGGTATAATATTGATGACGTAGGCAGCAATGAACGCGTGTGAACTAACCTAATGACCATACATTCTCTTGTGTCACAAGAGGATGTAAATCACAGAGGTAAATACAGTATCCTGTAGTAAATAAATAAGTATTGTTCCTTTCCAGGATCACGCGTACTAGAGACAGCGCTACAACAACCCTACACAAACTTAACTTTGCACGAACACAGGAGCGACCATAGAAGGACAAGCAGTATGGACTAACTAGATTTTTTCTATTCTAAAAGTGAATCTCGAATGATCATGCCAACATTGCTGGCAGCATGAACACCAGTTCTAATTAATAATTAATTAGTTATTACTCAGGCTTAAGATTATCTAGAATACTACTTTATATCCTTGTTCAACATTGTTAACGCACAACGATTACGCTACGTCGCTACCTATTTCACAACGATGATGGTATTGAATACGCAGGTCTTCTACTGAAAAATTAGAACATAATAGGTTTATTTTCCGTCTGCTCCTTAACATACTGAGTAAATCTTTTTAGAAATTTGGGATATTCCCGTTTGTAGATTGATCGTAATACAGATGCTGGCGCCCACCCTCCAGGATTAACTGAAAGATAAAATAACGATAGGATATTGTTGTTATTATTAGTACCTAGTATCGTCTAACATATATATTACAAAATCACTGCAACAGTACTAAGATATAATCCGTAATATACACGATATCTATTCTAATCATTTGTACGAGATCGAATTGTTTCCACCGCCTTTTTCATTTCATATAAAAACTTTTAAGGTCAACAACCTATAGGCTGCGCTAAAATGCCACACATCAACTCAGAACACCCGATGCTACCATTTTCCCGCTAGCAAAGTGCAGATCACTGGGACAGATTATGCACTCTTGAGGGAGGCGGGATTAAAGCATTCATTTAATAAATTTTTTTATGGCAGAGAGTTCCGCTGTTTCAAAAATTTCCACTATAAATCAACCATTAATTTTTCAACGTCAAACCTCAAAGCATCCACTTAGCGGTTCCTAATTTAGGTAGCTCATTGAGAGAATACGCCAAAACCATTAGTGAACTAAACTAACATTTCAGCAAAACTGTTTTGCTCATATTTCCTCTCTACTTTCCCTGTATTGGCGTAGTTATAGTTGTGCTAGCACTGGCAACTTTGCGAGCAGCAAAAGGCGTCTGACACTCTCCGTCACACTGGCATGTTCCATGAGCACACGCACACATTTTAAAAATCCTCTCTATAAAAAAATAAGTATCCGCTGCTGATTTGCCATTTCCTTTCTTTGCGTTCCTGTACGCGGCTATGTGAAAATATCTAGATCGAGCAACGTAAGTGTTTTCTCACTCAAGCTCATACTCCTGTCATGTAACGACCCATCGACGTTACTACAATCCAGAGCAATGTTAATGTGCCAAGAGAGAACAGAGCAAAGTAAAATAAGAAAGCATGGAAACTATGTCTTGTCCTACACCGACGTTAAGTCTGCTGGCTTGTACTAGCTCTTTGTGAACTGTCGGCGATGTGTGTCTATATACGATTTGAATGGGACGCATGTAGAGAAAATGTTTTTGAAGATTATTGCTACAGAAATATTAGCTCAGTTTGCAGAAGCACTCGTATGGCAGTCGTATCAAGGCCACAAGAGCCAGCTAACGACAGCACAAATACTTAGTAAATGATGACGAAATGTGTATACCTATTGTCTTAAGGGCCAGTGTAGTCCCTAATACTCATACCCCTAACGAACTACCTGCTCTTTTTATTTAGATAGATCAAGGTTAAAATTCATATTCAGCTGGTGCTGTTCGAGTTACCGAATGGGACCTCATATGGATTAAGCTACACGGACGGTACCGCTCCTCCGGCCAGGCACGCAACTTGGTGCCAATTGTTACTTATAATGCCATGCAGGGAAATGTTACACTAATCGCTCCCCATTTTGCCAGGTACAAGACAGGTACTACTATGCATACGTATGCATGGCAGTAGCCAGCCTAAAGACGTCGGCTTATATTTTGGAGATGATTTAATTGATAATACTGAGAGAAAGAATCGAATTTATTGCGTGACACTTAAACAATTACTGGCTGCATTTGCTGCTAGGATGTTTTTTCCATAGCCAGTCGTTTAAAATCAAACATTAGCACTATTTTTCTCTTCCACTTTACAAGTCCTGATGGACGTAATGTTAGTATATATTTCGTAATTAACATAACCAACATGTGGCTAGTAGTCCAGACAGCGGGTTCGAAGCTGCCAATAGCAACGAAGGCACAAACAAGAATAGGTTGTTTTTGCGCAGGCCCGTTGTAGACAGCAGCCCCAGTGACCGCTAGGCACTCGATGATGAGATGCTATCTCTGAGTGTTCGACAAAGAAACTCTTTCTGACAGCAAGTTCCCTGCCTTAAGACACCTGCAAGATTCTTCAATGGCACAAAGCTGTGTGCGGCCGAACCAAACACTAGGACTGGCTGACGACACAGCATCTCCATTGCCTAATGTACGCCTGCCGCAGATTGTTCATGCCCACATGCTTCAACAGCAGTTATCAAGCTGCAGATGGAGTGCAAGCCACATAGAGTATACACAGATTTCCGCCTTCTTTGTCTCTCACTGTGCTTAGGTTCCGTTGCGTATTGGTCCCACAAGGAACATAAAACTAAGGCGGCCCTACCACTCTCTACCATCCACCCCATAAAATAATTAAGGATAGTCAGCCTAAGAGATGTATAAATGCATGAAATCACCGCATTCTATATCTGGCGATATGACACCAATATATATATATATATACAAAACAATACATACGCAAGGAAACTTTTTACTTGGAGAACAACGAAGACGACCGTCACGGCAGAGGCTACGCTGAAGGCAACCACTTTAACCTCAGCAAGAAGGTGCAAATAGAGTAAAACTGTACTATAGTACTTGTTCTGGCAGATCGGAAAATAAAGCGAACACGATTAACGTAAGGACACATTGATATAAATATGCAATAGGATAGCCCCAGTTAACCACCGAACCTAAGGTATCAGTTCGGTCTCTGTAGTAACAAAGCGTGCCTAAAGTCGATGGGCGGGATTAGAGATCCGATTTCTGACAAAAGGCCATACATATTTTGCACCTGCATATCGTTCCTTATCTAGATAAAAAAAAAAAAAAACATTCGCTGTAGAAATTTGTTCATTCTAATATGATGATTAAATCAATCGCTTGAGGAATCAAAGCACCAATATAGCATTATCTACAATAAACACATCCCCAGGACTCAACATGCCCGTTGCAATGCGCCCACTGATAATAGGTAATTCGCATTTCTTTTTACATCTTGATGTCACTCGCATAAGATAACTGTAGCATGAGTAACCAAAGACGGCGATAGAAGCCCGGAAAATAGGGAACAGGAAAAACAAAAGTGATGAATTTTGACGGCACGGCTTTTCGTTACACCAAATCTGATGTTGTGTTGTCACTGAAACGATCTAGCGATGCGTAGGCAGTCTTAAAATGACTCACTATGAGATCGTGCTCACTATCGTGCTTATGTGAGTATGCTTATATTTCTGCTTTCTCGCTTTCGGCATTCATTTCTCTCCATAACTGCTCATGCACTCCAAGGCTGTCGACGCATAGGCGAAGAAGCCAAGCCAACCATCTGCCGCTTTGTGTAGCCATTTTCTAGCTTCTCTTTCAGACGAACGGATGTTCTTGCAAGACAGGAAGGCACTTGTTACGTTTCACCCGTTTTGGGGGGTGACGGCCGGCGTCGCCGCCGCCTGCTGCTGTAACGGCCGAGTGACGAAAAGCCGACTTCCATTAGAGATTTTCCCTTTCGCATTCTGTCAATACATCATAGGCGTATTTCATTGCCGTCGCCCTTCTCACAGAAACCGATTCCGCACCTCCACCTTCACCATGGACTCGTCAACGATGTCTCATGGCGGCAGATCCTAGCAGATCACATCGTTTGAGCCAAACAGCTTTGCTTTCTCGATTGGTTCGTCCCACGCGACCTACTCTCACCTACACCTACCCCCTAGAAGGGTATGGGAGAAGAGAATAGAGGGTATATTCAGTAGTGCCGATAGTTTAACGACGAACAGTCGAATACGAGAGCCCGTACGGAACGTCTACTCCCACATCATCCTAGTCCTCCTGTCTTTTGGCTAGACTAAATCTGAGTGAGCAGACGAACCTAAACATAACACAGAACTAAACGATAGACAACAGTGGATGAGCAAGACAACAGTTATCGTCACTGGCCGTCTGCTATTGACGTTGTTTACCTTGCTGCCATATTCTTTTGAAAACTGAATATAAAATTTGCCGCTCTAGATGAAAGCTAAACGGGTATAGTTATATTATAGGTCGCTCTTACTGTAACGCGCCATACGGTTGGTCTAAGACAAGCACTCGGGCAGGCAACATATGTTTAAGGGTACGCATGTAAATAACAAGTTTTTTGCCAGAACATGAATCAACTAAGACATAATGGCGCCTCGAGACGACCGCATAAACATTAATGCAGAAGGCAGTGTTTCCATATAAATCTATATTTAAAAATTCTGTAAAGAGTTGAGGTACAAGATCCAGCATGTACGTTGTTTGTACGGAGTGCTAGCTATATATATACATATATATTATTATTGTAGTGATATGCTATTACTATCTTTCAACTCGGGGTATCTCTACCAAGTAATGCAGTATAGAAAAGGAATTATTCATCGGGGCATCAGACTGCAGCGTATTCAATCCACAAAATCTATTTTAGTGCGAGGCTCATTAGAGATAGCATTTAAAGTGATAGAATTTGCGATTGTACCGCAAAGTGGCTAGAACAATTACTTTGTCGTCGCATAGTGACACGAATGCAACGACTTTTTTGTCACTGTTTAGGATGAGTAATACTGTTAATGTCATGGACATTTTGAATCCAAATTTGAGCGTCTATGAAGATCGCCAGTGCAAGGTGAAATTAACGGCTTGAAAAATTTTTTAAATAAGAAAGCATAAGTGAAGTGGCTAGTCGAATTGCTGAGTGTACCCCTCATTGAGGTCTTCATCTGCGAAATAAGGTTTCGTTGCACATTCGTGCAGGACACTAATGGTGGGCTCATTAACGGAAGGATAGCCAGCGGCTACATTCAAATAACATATCGATGACCGATTTTCATCAGATGGTTGACGCACAACTTATTTGTCAATCTGAATGTATCTATAACAACAGGCTTTTGCAAATTTCAGACCACAATATAGAGCAAAATGTGTACGTTCGGCCTTCTCGCACAAGGTACGAAAAGTGGTCTTCTTATATAACATGCATACAGCCGTCGTCGGCTGACCATCACTTTTACTTGAGCCGTTCGGATGTAACTTGCGTACCCCTTGTAATAATATGCTGCGATGCATTTTTTAGTAAGCATCTGTCTAGTGCTTACCTAGGTATCTTCCACCCCGCTGAACGTGTATTTTTAACAGGAGCGAATCTATAATCTTCTTTACGAAGAATACGATGATACATAACCTCGAATTAGTTCAGTTAAACAGACGGAACGCGGAGTACATGTGTGCATTAGTCAAAAATGTTGAAAATCGTACTGACGCTGCCCAAATGCGTTGGCCTGCCTGAGTCGTCAAAAGAGCATAACCAGCTTGATTTGACGGCATCATGGCGACAAGATAAAAAAGAAAGCCATTTTATTTATTATGCCAAATTGCTTTACAGTGTTAACACTCACAAATCAACTTTGTCAACCCAGTAGCTCTAACTGAGAGCCAGAGTGTAGCGAACCAAAAGGATCACTCTCAACAACATCACGTCTTCATGGCAGACAGGCTGCATGGCGTATTGCTAGCTAAGGAACGATATGATCACAGGCTCTTAGAAAGGAAACCTGCTGTATTAGAAAATATGAGGATAGTTCAGACTATAGCAGGCGCGCACCGCCATAACTTCAGCTCTCATTTATCATTTGACCATTACCGGCCCGGTCTGTTTTGTTTCCTTTACAAACTTGCCTCCTTCATATATTTTCTTGCTCACGTGCCTCCATTTTGGAGGTCTAGAACCGGTTCTGTGCCCATGTTTTTTGTTTTTCCCTTGTATAACATAGTTTTTCAAATTTTCCCTTTAGGGTCTTCGCCTGCGAATAAATCTACCTCCAGCGGCGTTACTGCCAAATCTGTTATTACATCTGACTTAAACGATTAGCTTTTGTTTCTAATGCTGTTGGCCTACTTATCGCACACATTGCGCTATTGGAGAAGACGACAGTTACGAAATTTGGCTGCCCGAAATGTATTTGAAGTCTTACAACATTGGACTTACAGGCGAGTGTCAATACATACTCGTCCATGGTACAAATTTCATGAACGTTTCAGATTGTATCAACATATCGAGATAAGTGAGAATAAAATGTGTAACATTTTATTTACACTTATCCCGATAGGTTCTCACCCTGGCAGTCAATCAACAGCCCGACGGTATATGGCACGTAAAAGAAAAATGTATAAAGAAGAATAGCACACGTCCAAAACAACACACCAAAGGAAATTCAGGTCACAGCAACATGAATTACCATTATTACCGTTTACTTCTTTGCTATTGCGGAATTCCCTTTGCATTTTCTCGGGTGTACCTAGATCTCCGCAAAAGAAGGTTAGTTCGTTCTATCATCACAGCGACTACTATGGCGTCCTCACGGTTATTATCAGCGTCAAAGCATAGATCATCATCAGCAGCAGCAGCATCAACATAAGGTGCATTATCGTCATCATATTATCATTTACTAAATGCACCTCTGGCTAATCGCCATCCTTCATACGTTCACCCATATATGTGCATATATATACTCGTATAGTTACACAATATTACACAGAATAACTAAAGCAGTCAAGTTTAGGCTAAAGGGGGCGATACAGAGAGCGAGAGAGAGAGAGAGAGAGACATAGTGAAAAGTGCAGGGAAAAATGGAAACGTAAAGGGCGGATAACAAAAGACACAGTCGTCAATGATTATTAACGTCATTAACGGGTGCCCAGACGAGCTAGCAGATAGACGCGAGCGTCGCTGTAACGAATGGGAAACGGTCGATCGTGGGCACCGGTGGAAGAAAAAGAAAACGGTGATATCTGGGATTGTCCAACGGCTTGTCGTTGCTGGGGTAATTTTAATACTTGGTATTCATCGTACATAATAAAGATAAAAAAGCCAGCTTTCGAAAAATTAGCTTTAAAACGCCTTTAAGGAATTGAACTATGTCGCATGTTTCCATAGCAATGAAATACTACCGAGAAATACTGATAGTATGCGTAGCTTTAACGTACGAGCAGTTAATAATATAAGTAACTGTGAGTTGTAACAAGTCGTAGTACTATTGTCAAATCTATCAAATAAATAATAATAATCTCTTGAAGGCTAAATATACTTGTGTTAGTCTATCAGTCCGAATGCAAATAAAGGTGGTCGGATAACTACTACAATGCTACGTACGTGTCAAAATAGAATAATCTTTACTGAATGCTCAAAAATAGTTGAGGCGCTCTTTGGCACTGAGTCCACGCTGATGGTCTTACAACTATGCCGTGACTGACTTCAGTAGTTTTCACATACGAGGCGTTCTTTCCCAGCGTCAAATATGGATAAAATAAATCAATACAGGAAATGTTCCTTTATAATTAAATGTGACCCTACGCCCCACAAACGAGATGTTTGCTGGCTTCGGCGTGTTCAGAGCCGCATGGGTGCACGAAAGTTTCCGGATTCAAAATTAGCGGTTTAATTACCGTAGGTTTGTGTGTATGACTAATACTCACTAGAGGAGCAGTAGGTTATACGCGTGGTCACTTTATCCCGACCCGCTATTTGGGGATCCCCTTCTACATAGGTCTGACCCACAAGGCATACCGTCAGAAATACTCGAACACATCGACCCACCTGAAATAATGAAATGATGTAAAGCCAAATGTTACCTATAGTTCTACATAACGACCAATAAAAAAAACAAACACTTTCAGAAAACGATACTTTCAGGAACAGAGTTTTATTTATATACAACGGCTGATCTATGAATGATACTTGCTGGCGCTATTGTACTTTATACGTACAGGTTTTGACTGAAACCGAACAAGTTAATACATTAATTTCTATTGTACGTTAAATGCAAAATGGATTTAAGATAAGAAACTGATATTAAAAATTGAAGGTGGAAAAAATACTATACATAGTCACGTCAAAATACCACGAAGTTCGTCACGGAAATAAGTTGTTTTAGTTGTTGTATTTAAATTACACTCGTTGAATCCGTTTTAGGGACGGCTTTTTCTTATGGGATCAATGATCGATTACCCCCCTTCATCGATCCAACTTCACCTTATATAACTTAATTTAAAGAACAATTACACAACTCCTTTTACTTGATGTGACAAGTCAATAAGGGCGTATAGGTGCCTTATAAATACTGTTAATTCGCATTGAAAAGCTCATTAATTTTCATTTTCCATCAGTTTTTCTACGATAATTTATGTTTTTGCTTTTCACCATGTTTTCTCTTGGTACGGTTCTTTTTGCCAGATCTCACTGCTCGTCATCCTTCCTGTATGAGCGTATGCGTGTATATCGTAATTTAAGGCATAAAAAGTGCACTCCACATATGTAACCCAGCGCAAATCGCAGCCGGCCTAATTGGAGTGGTGCAGCTTGAAGTTCTTTGGGTTTTCTTTTTCAAATTTCGGTGACGTCAAATGGACGCAAAATTTATTAAGCACTTGATTAGTGCTGCAATATACAGGCGGCAAATCAGGCCCTGACTTCTGCTTATTATCTGGCCAGCTACCGCTGCTCTTTATCGTTTTAGTCCACGCTTCATTGCAGCTACGTTACTCGCTACAAGCCTAAAGCCCTTGAGTAGACGCAGACATATCCAAATACAGGCACCGATTTAAGCAGCACCTTGTCCTTGAAAATCGTTTGCATCGATCAATCGAAGCGAATTAAAGGCCGGAGACAGGAATACCTTTTCCGTTCACAGATCTAGTTCAGTTTGCTAGTGCATTGGGGATTTCTGAAGGATCTTTCCTAATTCAAACAGAAACTGACTTCCCGCGTCTTTCGCTTTATCGATGCCCTTCTAGGCGCTGCGTTTTTAGCTGCTCCAAGCTAGTGGTTTATTCCATTCCACTTCTCGGTGGCGCAGTCCCAAACGATTAGAATAATGATAATATTGCTGGGGCACTAGCTAAAACGGGATTGTCTTATTTTCCCTTAATATTTTACTCCCTTCCCCTTGCCCTCTTTTATTCCTTCGATCTCTTCGATTGTTACAGAGAACTACGAAAGTTCTCACTTCGCGCTTTCCATAAGCATGGGCGATCCCCTGCTTGAGAAGCGTTGCCCGAGTTCATTCTTTTTACATTATTTCTCAAGCTATCGCTTTATCGCAATCACAATTAGACGATTATTTTCCAGTCTAATCGTTTGCTTTCAAGTTTCACTGCTGTCACCGCTGCTTCATGTTCTGTGTCTAGCTATCTAGTAGGACAGAGTTTTTACAAGGCTTTTAGCCTGATCAGTGCAGTGCGCTTAAATATCAAGGGGAGTTCTAGGCGCTCTCGTCCATGTCTGTTGTGTCACAATATCTTTCTATACTAATCTACTAACCCTAGCAACGAACAATTGCGTGAACGACTGAATAGTTGCTAATGGTTCGTTTAGTATTTGTTTACATTAAGATGCATTGTGTGATGCGTCCAGTTATACAACATTGTATATATGTAAATATACTTTTAATGACTACGGCATGACGCATTTTTTCGGAAATTCTTATGCAACATGCAATACAGACATGCGTCATTGTGTTTCATGCTATATTAATGTACGATGTTACACATTGTGATACACCTATTGTAAAAAGTTCTCCTTTCAGTATACTTAGGTCTGTTTCAACATGACAGATTACAAGGCACACAAGGGCCAGGGCAGATGTTATATACAAGCACACATAATTATCATTACTGGCTAAACTTGTCTCCCCGCGTCCCTTCATGAATCGCGTCTAACATTCCGGCAACTGGCGTAACCCTTAATCAGGGTCCAAGCGTGTACTAAAACAAATGCAATATGCAACACGAGGGCACATAAAGTCACACGTGATACGAGTATAGGCGCCAGAGGGCGCGCAAAGATGAATTAATTTTGACAAATAAAAGTTGCGAAAAAAAACACCATCGTCGCTGAGAATGAAACTGTTGGTGAGAAGGCAAAAAGCGCTGCAGCACGTGAAACGTACGCGAACGAGGGACATTCGTTTGACAAACGGCGGAAGTCATTTCTTTCCGTAAAAAAAAAACAAATAGAACTTGATTTCTCGGCAAACGGACAATACGCATGTATCCATAACAGAGAGGAAATCCAGCTGGTTCACGCTATGTCATGTCACCGATTTAAAAAGGACCAAGAGGAAGTACAAGCGAGATCAAAAATGTTGCACATTAGTACATCGTATGTCATCTGCATATTCACTGAGGTGCTGAACATGAGCTGTTAAGGACCATTGATGCTAAGACGAACAAAAAATAAAAGATATTTATCAGCTTCGAACGAGATTCCTCTATGACGGTGTAAAACTCTTGTTTAAAAGGTACGATTTTGAGACAAATACTTTTGCAGTCAATCAGGCGAAATAGGCATAGGTCCGTTGAGATAGTTAAACCATTGCGGACTCTGTGTAAAAGTCAACGACGAATAGACAAACAAAACGTTGCTACCGACTATATCGCTTTCACACTGAAATTTTCAGTATTTGGGGGCTGAAACGATTTGATCCAATGCCGCAGTGTTTGCCAGTACCATGCTACAGTTCAGCGCTATTTCTTCTCTGCCACAAAAGCTATGCCTATACCAAATACTGTTTTTTGCCGGCGCTATGGTACCATATAGTGTTCTAATGCCAATAACGCCTCAAGTATTGCCGAAACGGCAGTCCATTTTTTTTCCATTGGATATTGAGCTCCGATTTCAAAAAAGAACCTCAAACCCTACATTTAGAATGGAAATAAATTAACGAATAAAATAAACAAAAATACGATTCGATTTAAAGCTGTTTTAAAACTCAAAAATTTAGCTAACCAACAAGGGTTTCGTCTGGAAAAATCTACCGGACACATGAACAAAGGCATAACAAGCACAGACTAGCAAAGTTCCTCCGCATCAGCTAAAACTCGACAAGACATAAAAATGAGGGAGCATGACTCAGTGGCCATTGATTGCGGTCAGCCTTTTTCGTTAAAATCGTAGTGAAAACAATTCCTCAAGCATGCATATATTGATGATGACCATAGCAGGAAAAGAGCCACGTCTTGACATAAATGAATACGCGACTTTGAGTACAACAAAATTAGTTGTACACCTCTATAAACTGTATAATCTCAGGTGGCTATATTGTGATTATTGTATTAGTTAGCAGGTAACTGCATAAAAATAAGTAAACGCTGGCTTGCGTAAATTGGCTTGTATCATTTACGATTAAGGCAGTATCACAATGATGGTGCCTATCTCGATTACGCTCAAACTATCAGACATCACTGTGTGTTCTGATCTAGTTAACTAGCAATAGCAGTATTTAGTAAATAGTACTGATACGTATTAAATTAGGCTTTGATAAAAATAATAATCGTCATCATCATCAGAACACATAACGGTGATTTAAGTCTGAAAATTCACGCAAACATGTATCAGTCATAAATACACTATATGTGTTTACGAATCCGAGCGCCGATTTTTTTCATGCCCTGTTGATCTGCACCTTACGTCCCCTCCTCCGATATTACTGCGGATTTATCCACCGAATTAATTCCAATCACAGCCAGCATGTCCCAAAGGTCAAGGATCGTCCACAAAGCGGAAATTACTCATTACTCACTGGTTGTTCATATTATTGTGCTCTTCTCAGAAATAGGGAGGGAAGAACTGCGGTATGAAGCAAGAACAGACAGAGCGAGTGCTTTACTAGGACCCCTGAATCGTTAGTAGGGGAAAAACTCCACAATAAATGATGGAAAAACCAACGAACCAACAGAGCTCCTGGTATCTGGGTCCACGCTCGTCCTGAATCACTAGTCTACTAGACATTACATAACAGTCATTTCCCTGCCAACGCATCAACGGTAATGTTCTACGATAACTATGTTAGGATAGGTTAGGTTAAGCTAGTTTCTCGGTTAGGCCATGTCCATAATGAGCCACTAACCCGCCAACACCGCTGGCACATTCTTAGCACTACAAGACAAGAAAATGCGAGTATGGAAGAAGGCGAACGACAAAGAGGTTAACAAGTAGCAACCAGGTGTTGATCGTAAAGATGGCGACAACGACCGAGAATCATAACGTCGTCACCATTGAAACGTGCCAGCCGTCTAGATTGGATAGAATATTATGTACAGTCGAGATGGGTGAAAACTGCTCTGAGAACAGGAAAAACTGAAGATGTGACAGTGAGTCAACAAGCAAAATTAGCTATGCTATAACATTTACACAAAATATGTTACTGATGGTTTTTAAAACTTCAGTTACAGCAATTAAAATGATCTACAGTCCTGTAGCCAGAAATAAGCTTCAATAGAAAGTGACGTAGCAAGACCTTCAATCATATTATAGTTGGCTAGTGCAAGGATTTTATATGTCCATAGCAGTGTTCAATGACAGAACAATGCTCTGAAGCGAAGATAGATTTTCGTTTACTCTAAAAGTAACAACTAGAAATGTGCTAATCATGCATTTTATTTTGTCTAAAGCCTATTTACTACAAACGACCATTTTGTGATACCTTCTTGCTAAGCAAGGCTAACAACAATTCGATTACCCGCTGTATTCGTTCTTTTAATTGATACAAAATGTTTTCTAACCAATAACAAATCGTAGGCAAGCTGAACACGCAACTAGCTGATTAAATACATACATAATTCCGTACTGCCTTGTTCTTTACGAACGTTTGAGACCACATTATCACTCACCGGTATCTCAGGCTGATCGCAGGACTTGTTGCACACCATCCACGTGTTGAACAGGTCCCCGCTGACGGGCGGACCCAGCGGTTCACCAAACTGTTCTACCTGTTCAGCCTCAACGCCTTCCCCAGCCATTTGCTCGATGTGCGACCAAAACAATGCGTCGCGCTGGGCTGCAGGCCACACCCGCTTGTGTATCTGATGAAATACTAACGTTTTTGACGTTTCAACCACTTCAACGACCTTCATTGTCTCTACCGTCGGCTCCCAATCATACCGAACCTCGGGTGCAAAAAAATAGTGGCACATCTCACGACCAGTAACACCCTGAAAATGCAAATAGAACGTATACAAAATGAAGTAATGTTTTACTATGTACAGTTACTATGTACAGGAATAACAATTCGCACTACTGCAAAGTGTTTACCGCAAACATTGATATCTAAGCCTACACAAAAGGTCTCGTTGCTAACAGCCATTCAAAGAGTTGTTTTTCATGTTTAGTGCGTCTCTCTTAAAATGAACACGAGATGAAATAGGTAAGAAACTATCCTATAGTTTCGAATACAACTGATATACAAATAGTCGATAATTAGGTACTTACTTTGACAACGTGAACGGCCTTAAGGGGATCGCAGACCAACCCATCAACCTCAACTTCTCTCTTATACATTTTCATAAGCCCATCTTCAGCGAACAGCTGCCAGCCTCCTTCACCGCCAAGGCCCATAAGCGCGTATCGATACTGTTCGCGTGTCGTCTCATCAATCTATTACAGAATCAGATAGAAATAGTATCAATATGTGTAGCCGGCAACAACGGTTGACTAACGCTGAGGACTTTTTTTGAAACGAAAAGAACTATATTGTATAAGAGCATGGTGACGATTATCACCAACTAGGTACATGAGGTCAATTGGAAGATAAGATCGAGTATTCGTTCCGAGCAAAAGCAGCGATCAAGGCTTGCTGAAACCTTTTCATAACATATTTTCCACGAAATATACTATACAGGAGTAAAGCTAGTTAGAATTAAAGGTTATTTCTAATTTTGTATACGTATACACTTTCAGAAGTTACTATGTGAGGCAACGTTGTAATGGTATTTGTGAAAAAAACTGGCGCGCTAGACAACAAGTTCAAACAGAAATGTAATTATCATCCACTTGTATTTACTCAATATGATTTTCACTAGTCCAAAAATTCGTTATATTCACCTCCTTTGATAGAGGATGATTTTTTATTTGGGCCCCAGTCGCGTCCGGATTTTGCAGCTGGCGCACTTTATTTCGAATTTGTCGTTTCTGTTCAACCTCTTGATCGTTCTGTTCGATAAAAGCTTCAACTGCATCGAAAAAGTCTTCTTCATTTAGAAGCGAGTGCGGTCCCTCCACCATATCGGGGCAGTTCATGTTAATCAACGAAGGTCGTTTGCCCAACGCCGTGACCACGCCGTTTCCGCCCGCGGAAGCAGCGGCCGACGAGTCCAAGCCACCTGTTGCTACAATAGTAGACATCCCATTGCCCGTACCCAAAGCAGCTTCTGCCCGCCTACGTCGCTCGACCTCCTAATAAAAGACAAAACCAGTAATACGAGCCGACAAAAATATTTATCAAAAACAACGAGCTTTCAGCTTGTTGAGATTGACAGGGGAATTTCTCTTTTACCATGACATATGCACACGTTATATTGGAACACTTCACGGAAAAATGACTCAGTCGTTGTGTTTGTTCCAGTTTACGCCACAAACCCTGTGGTAAAAGAAACGATTTTATGGCATTAGTGCAATATAATTAATCACAATATATTGATAAATATACTATACATTTTTCATAATACCGCCTTACACTTGTAATTAATTCTGAACATAATTTGCACTGAGATATGCTGGAGCAGTAAAAATACCACTTATCCTCCTTTTGACGGACATGATTCTATCCAACTTGTCATCAATCACTTGGGATAAACTAGCCAGAGACCAAGAAAGATGTCTCATATCTAGCTCGACTAAAGTAATATATACAAATACAAAAAAATTTTGTTCAATGATGAGAGCGACATGAGATTTTACACTAGGCTTATAAGTACTACCACTTCAGTGAACGTACAACGCTAGATCTATAATGTGATATTATTTAGGAAACTGAGCTGGGTGCTACATTAGTATATGTATTACTACTGACCCGTTCAAGTTTTCTACGCCAGTTATCTTCGTGCTGCGAGACCAGCTCGACGCACTGGGCGCAGGCTGCCAGTAGGGCATGACTCGTGGCTTTAAAGGTCATCGCTTCACCCCTGACGTCAACGGAGCTAACCGCTGACGGAAACTCGGACACAACTCCTGCCAACCCCTCGTACACCGTCTAAATAAATAAGTAAGACAAACGGGTTAGGCAAGCAAGCAAGTTACATGATGATAAATTAACATCAATGTCTTTTAATTGTGACTGCCCGCACTAACTGTGACCGGCCGCGTTTCTTGTCAAACAAATTAGTTTTTCCATACTTTCTCCATACTTAATCCATATTTACCCTCCATACTTTCCATACTTACTCCATACTTACCCTCCATACTTTCCATACTTGCTCCCATAAATTTAATTTCTAAGAAACCTCATAGAAAAAAGTGAGTATTGTTATGTTGCATTAAAAGAGCATCGATGGGTAGGTGTCTCTCTGGTGAATAGTATGTTTGCTCCTTCAATAATTTTAGCATTTTGCACTCAAACGATATGTATTTTTTTAGATGTTACAAAATTGCCCTTCGGATAAATTCTACCGCGAAGTGTGATTTGACCGCATGACTTGTAATCTTTTAACAGTTCACAGGGAGGATGCCAGCGTGACGAATAACGCTTAGATAAACACTGATAATTAGTGCTGAAGCCGCTCTAAACGGCACCGTCGACACTTGAAATTCGAAAAGTGGTTAATTTTTTAGCTAGGTCATCTGTTGATATCAGAACAAGTTGCTCGAAAGAATGACTGTTATCTATAGCACAAACATATTACATTATAACTCTTCTAGTTTCATGTTAGGGCTTTAAAATTCAGCGTAAGAGTTTAAAATTATTTATAATTTAGCGCAGTACTGGTTATTATCAATTGACTAATTAAAAGACCCACAGTATATGAGGTCTCCATCTACCAGGATATATTCTTACTTTCTCAATCATCATATGCAATACTTCCCATGCAACCACGAGTTTGCTGAAATGAATTTGAAGAAGTCAGACTCTCCCAAAAGTCAACGTTTACCCGTAAAATCAACGTCGGCGCCCTATGGTCGCGTTGGTAAAACTGTCTTATTTACTGAGCTCTTCATAATACATCTTCAAAAAACCTTTCTTAAGCACTGCGTTCAAATTTTACAATTACCGATATAGCGGCTTCAGTAAAGTATAAGCTATTTATTGAAACGTATTTACAACGTTTGCGAATTGTTTGATTGCCGCTATAGATTCCTAATATCGCCTTTAAAAACAAAGCTGTAACAGCAAGAATAGATACGAGGTGATATGACCTACCTGTATTGTGTCGACTTGTCTTGCGAGAATGTCTTTAAAGGTGTCAATTTCGTTTAGCTTTTCCTTGATTAGACTCCTTCGGGAGCCGATCGAGCTCTGCGACATCGTCGATCCAATTGATATCGACGACCCATGGCGCTTTAAGGACTGATCACTCCCATACGCGCTGTTGTTTACCAGAAACCAAATTCCAAGCAAATACCGGGACACAAATACAGGGTAACGCAAGTTAGTCGAGGAGGAAACAAGCGTGGTTTGGCTCGAAATAGCGTTCGTAACAACGAGTGGCAGTAGCAGTGTTTTTGACAAATGTTACTTGGGAAATCTTTTATTACTCACTCTAACAAGTACCCGATTCTATCTGATACTTTATTTTTTAAAAAGAACTAACTGTAACAAAAAAGTGCCTTAAGCTCTAGCCTTACTTTCATGCATAAATATTGATTTGAACATATGGGACCCGTCTTTGCTGAGATAAGAGCGTCATACTTTGTATAATTTTTCTGTATACTTATTAGTTTAACTGGTCATTTTATTACTTATATGAGCAGCTCCTACTAGGCGTTGGAAGTGCTAGCTAATAGAAGTTAGAAAACAGCAGGATTTTGCGTAACCCAATCTTGAAGCTGCCGAACAAATAAAAAAAATATTACAGATTCTAATACAATATTACGATACTTATATTGCTGCTTTTGCTCTTTTAGAGTCATATTCATAGACATTTACTTACCTGTCAGGCGCATTTTTATGACTTTCGATGGCCTCAAGCCACCGGTTTCGCGTTTCAACATCATTAGCTCGAAGGTACCACATATCACCATTAACGACGCCCATATCGAAACGACATTCATCGACTTCGTGGGGCTGAACGATGAAATTGATTGTCAACCAACAATTCCACAAATATGTAGGTGCATCCGCGTGTATCACGGCAGTAGAAAGTGTACGATTCAGATTAAGAAACAGGTAATCCAGAGAAATCCCGTCAGGTACAGAGACATTTGTTATATGATTTATTCTAACACCTTGATTATTATAAGAATATATGAGGAATTGATGGCACATGGTATGTATAATCTCTTTTATACCGAACTCACCTAATCACATAAATATTGAATTGAACTATCGAAGAATAACACTCTGAAGACTGGATTTAACTGAAACTTATGAAGGAATTGCATTCAACTAACGGTTTAGCTAACCTACAGCAATATCAAAAATAGGTACGTGCGCATTATGATATTTTCTAACAATGTAATATATATATTTTTTTTTTACGATGAGGTTTACGTTATTTTTATGATGAAAAATTCAAAGGAAACATCTGAGTGGATGATTAAGCCATTTTCCCATGGCAATATTGATTGACATGTTGGATAGATACAAACAAGGCAGCCTCTATTTTATTGTATTGTTTCATTGTTACTGAGGAACATTCTCGTGTTGTATTGTATTTGTAAATTCCAAGGCATAACCCTAGTTTCCCGTACCTTCTTATATTACACTTCGAGAAATTTTTTTCGAAAAATTTCGAAGAAAATTCGAGGAAGTTGCGAAGCAACTAGAAACAGTGAACTAGTAAAAACAAAGCCAATTGCTCTGTCAAACTCAGTTGACCGCACTAATTAATTTTTGCTTAAAAGTGAATAGGCTTACAGTAACAGAGCTCGTACCTCCCAGCTCCACCCATATATCCATAAATCAACCTTTTTGGGAAACATGATACTCACGAACGAACTCGGCTATATATAGATGAGGAAAAATAAGTTCCTCATTTTATGTTATTTTACATAACTAAAAATATTATTAAAGGAAAGACGCTACTTTTTAAATTAGTCCACCGGTAACTATGGAAAATGTATACGCTTAAATATGCACAGCTAGACACTAATGTGTTCTAGAATGTACTGATCTTAATCTCGTCTACGTAAATGTTTGTGCCCTATTTTGTTTAAAGTATATATTCGTTTCTCCTGAAGCTGGTATCCCTTCTTAATTCTTCTACACACGATTATCTGTAACGGCCTTATACCTTACACTCACCTTACAGATAGCTTTCTGTATGCTCACAGCGCCGCGACAGCCGAAGCTTGTGTCATTCTCCGATTTATAATAACTAAGAGTCTGATTTGCTAGCACAAAATATCTTGGCTGCCATCCATGCAGGTAGTTGGTCCATTTACAGAGCGATCCTTGCAGTGTAATACCACTGATGGTGGACGACGCAGACGGCCCTGCTGACGAGGATAGTTCTTCCTCTTCGTCGGATAAGAGCGCCCCACCTCCGGCCAGAGCTCCGGAACCACCATCATCCGACATCGCGCCAGGCTCACTCCTGCGATAATGGAAACAGGACACAAGACTACAAATGATTCCTGCGAAAAACGGCGCAGACTGTTCGGGCAGGAGCTCGGTAAGGTGAGTAATATTGCATATTTATTATAACGGTGTAATATGCATGTGGACACCTACTAGCAACTTGATTGGTGTCTCATTTAATTTAGAACAACAAATCGAACATGAATAACAGCTAGATGAACCTTGATATAAGCTAATTGGATTTTATAAAACACTTTTTGCAGCATGCTATAGCAGCTATTCCCAATAGCTCCGTAACGCCCAAATGCCTGTGCGCACTACTGTATATATGTTATTATATATTATTTGCGAAGCCCCTCTCTGTTCGGCACGAGTTTTAGTATTAGCTAGCTGGCCTGTTTTGCATGGCGACAGTCATTTTATGAGACTAGATATTCGAAGCCCTTCCGAGATTTCTGCCGCCCTTTTACGGCTTTACGTAACATACGCATCATGCTAAGTGGAAGAAAAAATATAGGTGTGGGTACGGAAAACCATCAGTACTAGAGTTACATAACTGTGCTCTCCTGCGCCGCCGTCATAATGTAGTAGCTACCCAGGAACATCAACATATTTCCATCGCGTTTCGCTATTGTCGTAGCGATTTGAACGATCAGCTACAATAGTAAGATGCTGATAATGACGTCAACATAAATATTACCCATTATTTTAATAAACTAACGGGGTCAATAAATGTTGTCAAATATAATAACGAAGAATCACAGAGCCACTAACTAAAATCTTCTAAAATCGCACCCTCTATTCCGTTACAGAAGGAATAAGAACCAATCGACTCACGTGCTGCCAATGATCCCGCATCAGTTCGCTAAATACGTAGTAACCGACAACAGCGCCACTGCCGCAACCTCAAGTTGCTGCTATTCTGGGATCCACTTCTTTCTTCGCCTTGGTATCAGGGCCATCTTCGAGTCGTTCAAGAACAGAGAGCAGCACCGGCGACGCATACGGAGGCGTAGTTCACTTCGTCGTTTGTTGACGTGGTCGATTTCGACACGCACTAGATTATTACACACTGCAGTAAGTGTGAAGATCTGTCCACACACGATGCGATGACGCCAGTTTTTCCTGGCACCTCCGAAATAAGCTTACGGTACGGAGCGTCTCCCTGCACCAGTTTAGAAACGGCCGTGTAGATTCTACAGTAAAGCAGGCCCAATAAGCCAGCTTCTACTTCCCCGAAAATCCTAGCATTGTGAAAAGGGGTGAATGCGGCCGACAGACCAAACGAAAAAACGAGGTGAGCACAGCAACTATAAGATGCTTGCATTTACACAGATACGTAGAGTAAAGAAACGGTCAGAACAGGGGCATCTAGGAGATTTTAGATGCTCCAATAAGGCAGCAACGTCGGAAAAGCTGGTGCCGTCAGACGTACAGCCTACCGGGCAGGGTCGTGCAGCGCAGGGGTGGAGTCAATTCGCGGACAAAAACACGACAACGAAAAAGACGAACCACCGATGTACTGACTACGTTGTCGTGTCAGCGAGTGCAATGTAGTTCTACAGTTGGTAATGGGTACCCAACAAAAACAGCCTGTCACTAAAGGGCGAAAGCTAGAGCACTTAGCTGTGATCCGACAGTTAGGCTGCACCTTCTAGAAGCCACGAACTACAAACTACACTGGAGAAAGAACAGGCCAAACCAAAAATAGTCTGAGGAGCGACAAACGACGACGGGAGGATCGATCAGTAAAAAAATAGTGTGTTTTTTCTATTAGAAATTCAGCGGTGTTAGCTGCAGTAGCCGTCGAAGAGGCTGAGGGAATGAGGGAAATACAAGGCTAATAAAGGTAAATAAAAGGATATATAGATATAGCAGGAAAGAGAATACGCGGTACACGAAAATAGATATGGTATTAGCATATCCAACTAAAATGGATGAGAAAGCCTTTCTCAATCGTTGTTAACTATCAATGACGGATGAAATTACACAGATTCTTTTTCACGAAAAATAGACTCGGTGTATTCAAACACAAACAAAGACGTCATTTCCAGAGGCTGAGCAGTAGCATTTTCGTTACTGTTATTTCCATCGTTGTCGCACCTATTTAAAGCTCAGAACAATCGCCCACTACATCATCAACAACGGCAACAAAATCAAAAAAACAACACATCTGTGTGTATCAACAACTTGAAGTGAATTAATTACAATTACGTGTATTGGCATGTTTGTGTGCGTATGTGAAACGTCGCATCCATCGTATTTTGCTGACCACCAAATCCTGTGCAGTTCTTGCAGTAGCTCAGCCGCAGGCAATGGGCGTGGCTGTAGCATGTATAAGCTTCCCTTCAGTATCGCATTGTATAGAGCACATATTCAATATAGTAATAGCAGGTAGTTGGTTTAATATCTATTAGAAACTGAAAGCTAGAGAGGTAGACGTTGCCTGTGTTAGATCTGTTGCAGTTAACGAATGATTGCCTAACAAATGGCGGTGCTGTGCGTGGATACGTTCGGGTCAAGAGTGGTGAAGAACCACTGTTGAAACAGCAACGACGGCGACGGCGACGATTGTATCAACTGCGGCGGTGGCCAGGCCACAAAGAAAACATCTCAACGCAAAACAAGAGAGCTAGTAAACCTACTGGTTGAAACGAACGAACATGCGGTTAAATTCGATTAAGTTATTGACAAATTGAATATTACTTAGGTCACGCAACAGAAACTGGGAACAAAAACTAGCGGAAGAGTTGAGGTTAGCTATTGTCATAGGCATAATTCTATGGAAAAGCATAAAGGATAAAGTAAAAAAGAGTAATTGCGGTCTGTTTAGGGCATAGTGTAGATGGGGCCAGAAGAAGGACGCACGGCTTACAAATGTATTGCGTCGGACAGTCTGCACAAACGAGCTAACCGATTGATAAACTTGTACGAAGGTATACCTTATTAAGTTTATTAATCTCGGTTAGGCTTCGCGGACGAAGATAGTTAGCTCGCTTTGAGTCTTATTGCTACCAGTAAAGAAGGTAAAGAGAAACTACAAAAAAAGAAACAGACCGTTCTTAGTAACCAGGAAGAATATAGACGACAATCACGATGAACTAGTCTCAGTGACTGAGAAAAACGCTGTAACTATGTGGCGAGTATGACCAAAGCATGAACCACCAAAGGGTGACAATGTGTGCAGATAGACAATATATGCCAATATACCGGCAAATGTAGACTAGAAATATGGATTCTAGCATTGCCGTCAGCACAAGCTGAATCTGCTAAAACCGATAGTAATTATATTAATAATACAGAACCTCATTTCTCTAGTATTCTAGAGAGAGAGAAAAAAAAGAAATTAGAGATTTCTTTAGACAAGTTTCCTTTTCTGGTCACAACTCATTTTTTTTCAATCTGTATATAGATTTGTTATATGCCGCTCTTCAAACTCATTAAATCAAACGTGAGTTTTGAAACACATGTTCATGCCCGAAAAAAAGGCACGGCAAAATAGGCTGACAAAGCTATAGTACCTTACTCCCTCTCGAAACAATTTCGCGCTTAGTTTAATTTAATATGACGGCACTACAGTTTCAAATAGATTTAATGTCACTCGACACCAGTAATACAAGAATGTTGTTACGGTGTTTTCGATTTTAGCGTGTGGCATCCGGACACGTCAGAATGAGGTGGCAAAATCTACAGCATAGAGACTAGGTATATCAGCATAGCTACAGCATGAGCTTAACTCACTGGTGTCAAATGCGACTCTGATGAAGCCGAGGTACTCTTGAAAATCACTTTTTAATCATAGCTATTTTCAGAGTTTTAATCGTAACCTTTTTTGAATAATTCTATTTGAATTCCACCGAATTCACTAACTCCGCTATTCTATTCTAATTATTTGAATTTGAAGGATATGTCGCACATGGGATGTCAAAAGGTCTGCGAGGTAACGGTATATAGCACCACCTTTATATATCATACGCACTGTTATGTTTTTGTTGATGTTGACTGTGATGTGCGCGACCGCCCGGTAGATCACAAATTAACACTCCCCCATGAGAGGTTTGAGCACAGCGAGATCAGCTGGTTCAGTTCGCGCCACCGCGCAACGGCTACGATTCACTCAACTCACTGTCAACGACGCAATCGTAGTCCGGGGTAGCAGTAGTAACTGCGACAACTCTTTTTTTCATTAGTAAATAGCAACTAATTTTTACCTATCCTAGCAGAATCTTAAAAGAGAACGGACAATGTTTTCTGTCATACCTGGTAACGGCTTTCTACCCCGCCTGTCATCAAGTTTATTTACATATTTGGATGCTCAGTTTACCGCTCGCTGTCCACGAGCGAACTTCACGTCGAGTTAGTTGCCAAAATAATATCAGTGAAGCATATCGCCATAAGTTGTAACAGTGCCTAGATATCACACTACTCCTACTACAATATACACATACATACACGGTACAATCGGACGAATGCCAATATTCCGCCGCCACCGATGGAAGCAATAATCTCAAGCGCGCACACTCTCACTTTAATACCTCATCATCGACATGCAACATCCGGCCTTTGACAGGTACGACCTAAAAGCAGTCGGAGCAATCACCACAAGCACTCACTCACCTGCTGCCCCTGCTGCTGTTGCAGCGCGGCCCGGGCCTGGTTGTGTTTCTGGTGGGTCGGCACCGGCCTGGGGCTGGAGAAGCCCAAACGACCAGGCGCCAGCAAGTCCAACTTGACAGACGGAACACCTTTTACCTTGATCATATAGGTAACCAGCTGCTTGTGACAAGGACTGAACGTCAAATTAAACGAGGGTCAAAACGGCAGGAGCGTTATGTAAGAGCATTACAGCGACAGCAACGGTACGTTCTGCGATAGCAGTAGGTGGCAATTGCACGATTCAGCACTACAGCTCTCTCATTATCAGAAAGCGACATACGAGTGTGTACACGCAACACATCGAGAGAACCAAGGCGATAGTCCGATACACAAGTAGCCAGCCACTCAGCTATCCCTACCACACTCCTATGCCAGCAGTCGCTGTCCACTAACTCTCTTACACACACAGAGACAAACAAAGAGATAAGACACACAGTCCACCACAATGACACTCACACCCTCATTGCAGACACAAACAGGGTTAGTGCCCCTAGAAAATGGAAAAATAGAAGTAAGCGGGCACGAATTATCCCACACAGGAACAAAAACAGATCGCTAGAAACAGGCATGGACTTAGACTACATATCGAGACGAAAGTACCGGAACATCGTAACATTTTACCTCCACTAAAAAACGCTCACTTTGTCCTCTTTTATTTGGACAACCTAAGAGGAGAAGTGCGCCGTAACAAATTTAGACTGATATAGACAGTAACTATAATTTTGAAAAAAAAAGGTATAATCGACAACCCTCAACAATAGGATGGTAGCACTTGCTCAGCTAGCAATACAAACAATAGAAACCCCAGCAGACGACCAATATTATTGTAATTTCGAAACAGTATAATCAACAGCACTAAACAGGAGGTTAACAGCATATGAAAAATTCTAGCATAATAATACAGAGTTCCTTATTCGTTCCTTTAAAATATGTATCCATTGTGAAAATAAAAAGTTCATCTTTTTCATTCATCTTCTGTGAAAAGGCCAGAGCTGTTAATGACTCGCATGCCATTCAGAACAGGGCCCATCGAAACGGACGACAGATATAGCACACGGCTCCCGGTAAAAACGGCTATATTCATTCTATTTGCCAGGGTTTATTTTTTCTGGCGGTCTAAAGATTGCAAACGAGAGGGTAGTTTACTGGTCCCGCACTGCCAACTTTCTGTTGTGCGCAGTAGTCGTGACAGTGGCGGCGGGCGCAAGCGTGCTCTGACCACGGACCACTTGCTCTCGCAGAGTCTTGATCCACATGTGACGCGGGGAAGGAGGACACAGCAGATACTGTTATTTACAAGAAGTTATTGAAGTGACCGTCATGATATCTGCTGTGGCAGCTGGCCTTTGCTGAAACACCTAGTCACGACCACATCAAATCTAGGAGGGTTTTAATGAGAATGGGCACTGATGTGCGTGTCGTCTGCTTAAGCTGAGCCGAAGTTTCCTACGGGGCCTGTAGCTGCGTCTGTTTTCGGAGACGCTTCTACCAGCGAGTGACAAAACGAAATTTGCCTGTTATTGTTTATTTTAGACTATGCTCAATTCTAGAGAAAAATGTAAAGTTAATGTTGACGAAGAAAACTCGATAGCTGAGCTACTGGCTAAGCCTAGGTGGCTTATCGAATACTGCGTGTGAACTGCGGGTGTTTATTTGTCTGGAAAACCGTCAGGAGCATCGAAATACAAGTGCTGAGTTCTTCTGCTGGTTTTCATAGGAAATCCGATACCGTGTTAAATACATTGTCATTGTTAGAGTATAGGCTGATGAATCGATTGCATCTTGTAAAAAACCAAAATTTAAAAAAAAAAAGTGTCGCTCAGTATATATCGACGGCAATCCGGCATTTGCGAATCGCCTATAGTAGAAAAAAATTATAGATATATTTCGCACTGCAATGCCGATCTTTATCGGTAAATGTGTACTAAATTATAGACCCAAAGCATGTATGCAGATTGTGGAAGATTGAGCTATGTCTATAAAATTATATGCCGGTAGTCTGATGCTGGTGGAGTGACTCTGGGTGCCTATGTCAGTGCATTGAACAAAAACATTCTTTCATTAAATCTGTTGTTCGTGTACCTAAATCAGTAAACCCCTTTACTGCCGAGAACTATAATTGTTGTGTATTCGGACAACTGATAGCAAGTCAGTCAGGTTCGTTAAGCAATACATTAATATCGTGTGTGTTTGTTACTTACCTGCGTTACAGAATGCATGCACCCAGTGCACTTGTCAATAAACAGAAGAAACTCTTTCTGGGAGTTCAGGCTCCCCTAGGCTACGTGGCCGGTGTAGGTCGCGGAGCTACCGGATTCACCACCAGGTAAGGATATTTATAAAAGACAGAAAAGCTTTGAAGAATCATTAGATTTCTGTAGGAAGTAGAATTAATATTGCTTCATAAAGGCTGAAGCCTCAATACGGTGTAGTTTCCTGACGGTCACGATGAAGACCAATATTGTCTTACTTATAATAAAGACAAGTAAATCAAGTTTGACTAGGCTTATATGTATTTGTTGACAGAATATAACCAACATATTGTATCTGTGTATATCGCTTTTAGATCTGATATCGGTCCCGCCAGAGAGAGTTCGGATGTTCCCGACGATCGCCACGGTCAATCGGTTCCAAAAAAGCCCCGAAAAGGTCAAGATGATGACGACGACGAAGACCTTAACGATGCTAACTACGACGAATTCAATGGTTCGTGACCACATAACACATATAACTACAGTTAAAAATTGGACTACCATGAATATGATGTGTGTAGTTTAAACATATGAACGTATAATCTATCTAGTTGTTATGGCGAGCATGTCGTAAGGAATATAGTTAAAGGATTTTAAAGCATTTTTGCATGCATCAATAGTCCTGGTAAATCTACGGCAATCATACACATATGCATAAGCATTTTTCTTTCTTCTTTGCGCTTGAAGACTTTACGTCTTTGCTGTAATGAAGTAACCATTCATGGGTGTTGCAGGCTATGGAGGGTCATTATTCAGCAAAGATCCTTATGACAAAGACGACGAAGAAGCAGACGCCATTTATGAAGCAGTTGACAAACGTATGGATGAGAAGAGAAAAGATTACCGCGAGGCAAGGCTCCGAGCAGAGATCGAGAAATATCGTCAGGAACGTCCGAAGATCCAACAGCAATTCTCTGATTTAAAGCGCGAGTTACAAGAAGTGTCAACCGACGAATGGAATGCCATTCCTGAAGTGGGGGATGCGCGAAACAAGAAACAGAGGAATCCCCGTGCCGAAAAATTCACACCATTGCCGGACAGTGTCATCGCTGGCGCAATGAGCAGTGGTCAAGGGGTTGCAGCTATTGACCCGACGACGGGTCTTGCCTCACCCTTCCCCGGTACTGCGTCCGGAGAGCTGGATCTTCGCAAGATTGGTCATGCGAGAAACACGCTTATGGAGATTAAACTTACGCAAGCGTCCGACTCAGTGTCAGGTCAGACAGTTGTCGATCCCAAGGGGTACCTCACAGATTTGCAGTCCATGATTCCTAACCATGGAGCGGATATATCCGACGTGAAGAAGGCGCGCCTGTTGTTGAAGTCGGTGCGCGAGACAAATCCCAATCACCCTCCAGCATGGATAGCGTCTGCACGACTTGAGGAAGTAACGGGAAAGCTTCAGCATGCGCGGAACCTGATCATGCAGGGTGCTGAAATGTGCCCGAACTCTGAGGATGTGTGGCTAGAAGCCGCACGACTGCAGCCGGCTGACATGGCCAAATCGGTCATTGCGCAGGCTGTCCGCCAGTTGCCACACTCAGTTAGATTATGGATAAAAGCAGCCGAGTTGGAAACAGAAAAGCGGCTTCAAAAGAGAATCTATAGGAAGGCTCTTGAGCAGATACCGAATTCGGTACGACTGTGGAAAAATTCGGTTGAGCTGGAGGATATTGAAGATGCGCGGATCCTTCTGACCCGTGCGGTTGAATGCTGCCCCTCTAGTGTAGAACTGTGGTTGGCACTAGCTAGGTTAGAATCGTATGAAAACGCAAGAAAGGTTCTGAACAAAGCCCGTGAGAACATTCCCACAGACCGACAAATCTGGATTACAGCAGCGAAGCTTGAAGAAGCCAACAAGAATATAAAGATGGTACCAAAAATCATCGAACGTTCCATTAAATCTTTATCGGATAACGGTGTAGAGATCAACCGTGAATTGTGGATGAAGGATGCAGTGGACGCAGAGCGAGCCAAATCAGTAGCCACATGCCAAGCCATTATTGACCATGTTATCGGCGTTGGAATCGAGGACGAGGATCGTGAGCATACGTGGCTTGAGGATGCTGAACAGATGGCTAACCAAGGTGCTCCAGAATGTGCTCGCGCTATTTACGGCCACGCCTTGGCGGTATTCCCTGGTGTCGAAGGCATATGGCTTCAGGCGGCGCACTTCGAAAAGAGCCACGGCACGCGCGACAGCCTGGAAGCATTATTGCAAAGAGCGGTTTCACATTGTCCGCAGGAAGAAGTGCTGTGGCTCATGGGGGCGAAGAGTAAGTGGTTAGCAGGGGACGTACCTGCTGCCCGATCAATTCTGAGCCTTGCCTTTAAAGCGAATCCCAATTCAGAGGAGATTTGGCTTGCCGCTGTCAAGCTCGAATCAGAAAACAACGAATACGAGCGAGCGAGGCGATTACTGGCCAAGGCGCGCGCATCGGCACCAACAGGTCGCGTGATCATGAAGGCGGCCAAACTCGAGTGGGCGTTGGGTGACTTAGAGGAAGCTTTAAGGATACTCGAGAAGGGTGTCGAAGATTATTCTAGTTTCGCGAAGCTATGGATGATGTACGGGCAGATCTGGTGTCAAATGGGACGACCTGACAAAGCTAAGGAAGTTTATGGAAGAGGAATAAAAGCATGTCCGAGTGCTGTGCCCCTGTGGGTGTTACTAGCGAAACTGCAGGAAGAGACAGGCGTATTAGTATCGGCTCGTTCCGTATTAGAGAAAGGACGACTACGAAACCCATGTAATGATGTATTATGGCTGGAAGCGATTCGGATCGAATATCGCGCAGGCATGAAGGATATCGCAGCAAAAATGATGGCCAAAGCCATGCAGGAGTGCCCAAGTTCTGGCAATCTCTGGGCCGAGGCCATTTTCATGGAGCCTCGACCGGGTCGTAAATCCAAAAGTTTCGACGCTTTAAAGAAATGCGAACATGATCCCCGGGTCCTTTTGGCTATTTCCAAACTTTTTTGGGCAGAGCGAAAGATCAATAAGGCTCGTGAATGGTTCAATCGCACAATTAAAACCGATAAGGATTACGGTGATTGTTGGGCAAATATGTACAAGTTTGAAATGCTCCACGGCACCCCGGAGCAACGAGATGAAGTGAAGAAACGCTGTGTGCAAGCAGAACCAAGGCACGGGGAATTGTGGTGTCGTGTAAGCAAAAATATTAGTAACTGGCGTAATAGCTGTGAAGAACTGTTGATTCTATGCACCAAGGAAATAGCTGAACCGAGTTAGGCTGAATTTACGAACTCTTTGTGAGAATTTTAATTTTCTTTGCTTACAACTTAATGGGTTCATGTACATTTGTCGATAACCAGAGTCATCTTAAACACCTTAAATAAATTATGTATATCATTCGACTTGAGGCATATTTTTTGTTCTCTTTGATAGAACGAGATTGCTTGTTCTTTGATTTGAAATTCTGATTTTGTTTTTATTTGGTATGTTTCGCCGCATATATATATATATATATATATATATATATATATATATAGCTGAAATTAGAAGTCGCTGATTCAATTGTTACCAACGACGCGTACAATGCAACCTACAAGAGTAAGTAAAATCATAAGATTTAATTACAGTTACTTAATTGGACCAAACGGCCTTTAGAATAACATGTTATGTATTTCGTAGCTGGAAGTGTTCAAGTCAGGGGAAGGTAAACCTAATGTTTACTATTTATACAATGTTTATTTATCTTTAATGGTATATGTTCAACAACACAACACATACGTATCACGGAATAAATTATTATCATTAATTCATATGACTCTTAAGTTGTAACATTCATAGGCTCTGAAAGTTTAAAAAGATTAAAAGTTAACAACATTGTTGCTGAACTACCGATAGCACTAGCATGCCAAGCTTTCAGGGGCCGCCCAGAGCAACAGCCTGCATAGTATATATCATAATTCTTGCCGCATTTATTACGAATAGACTTTTCGCTAGATTTATGGAAGCGTCCGTCTGTAACATTTGTGGCGGAAGCCGTGGATTTTAAAACGGGTGATTATGTGACGATTTATCCGCTCCGGTTCCTTTTAATCCTTATCTCTCATCGCTGTCGTGCTGAAAAATTCACCGTCTCTTTCTACAAATTTCTGCTTCCGCCTGCTGAAACACTAGAAGAAAGTCTTGGTTGTCGGCAGTCCAAAACAAGATCCTAAATCCTCCATGAGCAGAGACAGGGTGTCGGAAGGAAGGTGAACTAGTCTGTTTGTTGCCGTACGAATAAAACCCAGAGCACACTTCAAAAGAAAGGCACTCACTCAATTGAATAGTTTGAGATGTCCTACTATAAGGCCCTGCCAAACTATAGTTACCTCGTAAACAGCCACCGGCTCCACCATTAAAACAAGACGATGTTTCAAGGGAAAGGCGACTTGGGGTCTCGACGCCCTTCTGTCTCTTTCTTTGACGTGTGAGGTGAAGCTATCATTATTGAAAAAAGTAGCTCGAGACAGAGGAATCTGTTAACATACCGAGAGATGGCGTATCGCTAGCCGCGATTCTGCTTGCCTCCTGAATTTTATAGCTACGTTTTATACCGTTAATCTCAGTCCGTTGCTGTCTTGTTACGCTAGCCAGACCCTTCGATGCAGACGCTTCGAATCTGTTAGAGCCGTGGGTTATCAAAGCATTCACGCAGAGGATAACATCGACTGGGTCACTTTAGTCCTTTGTTTTTTCTGGAAGATCTGGAGTAAGACTGAGAACAGAAGAAGCTCAGATTTTTATCTGGAGCCGAGCCAGTCGTTTCAAAAGTATGGCACCTTCACCACTCTGTCATCGATACTTATGTCGCTCTCCTGCAGGATCGTAATCAACTGGAAGAGCATATTTCGTGGTACACACACGTATGCCAAGGTACACAAAACCAGATCTGTGTACGGTGCGGAGTCTAATTCGGTCTTAAAACAAAAAAACACCCCCTCTTGGGCGCTTGCTGGATTGTTGAAAGATCTTTTGATGCTGACCATCAGGACACTGTTGGCTGGTCTCTCTATTGAGAGCTCTCTCCGAAATTCATGCTGTTCCTTCAATATAGATTTACTCCTTTCTATAAAAGGACACTATCTTTTAATCAGTGCACCGTCGAGCAGCTTGTAGCGTATACTTCTGTTAGCAACTCCGTATCATGAGCGCTGGGCCAGGCCCTCTGCTAGCAGTCTCGTGTACTTGTTTTACAATCTTTACCATGCGGCATGATAGTTTCTGGAGGCCGCGAATTGTCTCCCTGTTCTTACTTCTTGCAAACAAATTACGTTTCCTCAAATGTTTACTACTTGTCAGGTTTTTCAATTGAACCTTAATATTAGATCATACATGGACTTGTGCTTAAAATAGTCATTCCCGAATGAAGGCAAAGGGGTTGATAAAATTTAGTTTATATTAGGTGTATACCCGAACTATTTCATTTTTTGTTTACTAGGATTTTCTACAAGCATGTTTCATTTTAGTAAGTTGATTTAAGCGTAGCCAATATAACGAGCCGAAACACATTTTTACTTAGATGACGTCCAAACAGTCGCGGTTGTTTGTTATGTGTAGATGTTTCCAAGATCAGCCTTCACTAAATATTAATATTTGTTTGTGTGTAGCTGTATTTGCCACTTTTGTGAAAACAACAAAAACGAGTTGAGAAAAAGAGTTAAGACCAACTTGTGATCTCGCGGCACTTACTACTACTGATCTAAGCTTGTGATACATCACAATTTAAATGAGCGATTTTCAGTTTGTCTTACGTAACGTTTAGAAATGAAAGCAAGCAAAAGACGCAGTATTCGAATGTTCCAGGGCTAATGGCGTCATACTCGCTAAAGACCTAAGCAAAATTGAGTCCTAAAACGTTCTCTCTTCATAAATGTAAAGCTTTTTATTCAATATGATAGGAGTTCGCTACAAATATGCATTTTAAGAAGTTCAAAGGGTATTGACGTGCTTACTGTTAGCACAAACGGAAATGAAAAATGTTAAAGATTCTGCTTATGGGCCAGTTTCACTATTAAACTACCTTTCTTTTCGACAATCACAATACCAGATTAAGATTGTTATTATTTTTATTAAAAATACTTGAAGACATACCACTCAATTATACGACAGACCTTTCTTCCAGCTTGTTTCCAGTTTTAGTTCCTTTGCATACTCATTAATAAAATAAAAATAAAGATTAATGACAAAAGGTATTCCTCAAGCCCCCCTAAGACAGCATGTTCTGCATGTATGTCTGCGGCTTAAAATCTACACCAGAGACCAAGCTTCCTGTGCCCACGGAAGCTAGCCGACGGAACGACTTACTGAACTAAGGCAAGGAACATCTTGCGTTCTAGTTGTTGGATGCTGTTTACAGCTCGCTCTTGCTCTTCTTATTACCGGAACGGTCATAGTTCTTTAGTTCATTCGTGGCGTGTTTTGCAATATATTTAATGAAGTCGTTGAGATCTCGGCCACCGTCATATTTTTGCGGGTTAGACTTCTCACCCTTCGGTAGCCAGTACAGTGTGGGGAACCCTTGAACCTCGAATGGTGCAGGAACATCGTTAGCAGTGGCATCCATCTTGACAATAAGAACATCCTCATTTTCCAACTCTGTCCCAAGGCTTTCATATGTTGGGGCTAGCTTCTTACAGTGACCGCACCACGGCGCATAGAACTCAATGAGAATATCCTTGTCAGACTTCACCACGAGCTCATCAAAATTTTTAGCGACAGCGACTTTCACTGGTCCATCATTTTTCTCTGGCACATCCTCGGATTTGAAGTGTGGTTCGAGCTTGCCAGCAAAATAATCCTTGATGAACTGATTCAGATTGTCGATCGAAAAGTCACTCTCCATTCTGAATTTCTGCTGCTTCTCGTTACGGATGCCAATCACGGGCTTATCAGCAGCTTTCAGACCAAACTCGTCAAGCTCACCAGCAAACTGATCTTTGTTGGAAACAGCAAATGAAAGCTTGCCAGAAAACTCCTTGACGGCCTTCATAATACGGTTACGCCAGTAGTTCGTGCCCTTAGTGTTTTTGTCGTAGTCGACATCATAATAGGCAATGAGCAACGGGTTATCGAACTGTTGATAGTTCTCCTGGGTACGGTGGCCAACGAGACCAAAGAACCGCTTCCTAATGAACGATTCCAACGCGACTGCGTCCGGAGACCCGTCGTAGACAACTTCATTATCCTCGAATTTGCTGTGGAATTTCTTCGCACGGATGAGCACGACATCGTCTGAAAGCTTTTTGGCATCGGCAAGTGCGGCCTCATGGGTATGGGCAAACGTGTAACGCTCGCGTTCCTTATCAGCAACCTTCTGGAACACCTTGTGTAGACTAGAGTCCTTCTCTTTGAACACACCCAAGATGACAGTCTCATCACGTTTGAGTAGAGATTCGAGTTCGCCCTTTGTCTTAACTTCCTTCGAGGCAGGTCCGACTTGTGCCTTCATATACTTGACGATGCCACCTGTATTATCGAAGTGAAAAACCCAGTATTAGTATGGTATCATATGCATCGGTATAATGTATGTAGTTATGTAAAAATATTGAAAACAGTGAACATTTAAAAAAGACGTAGTTGTTTTTTACATTTGCGGAATGTTGAATTATTTCAACAGCCTTCCAAATTTTCGCATATTACTGAGTTTGCAGCTACAGGTTCATACCGTCAGCTATGACTATGTATGAAGTACAAGCGAAACTGTTCTCGTTGCCTTATACACCTGTAATAATTAGTTTATGACCCTCTGGGTATTAACAAACTTTTAGATTCCATCTGCAATATTCAGCATACGTTTTCACGTTAAGTAACTGCATGACGAAATACTGGAAATTTGCAGAAAGATCTTCGAAGTTCTCTGAGCTGCAAGTGTAATCCATTGCACTGTTTGACTAGCAATACAGACGACACTGATCAGGTTTCAGGAATAAACACCTGAGCCTAGATCGATGGTTCGTTAAGCTACACAAGGTTATAATCCCTTTATACACTATATATACTAGAATGCAAGAATACATTGGATACGGTTTAAAACGCGCGTAACACTGCGACCAGTTAATTCAAGTCCCATCTATAGACCTAGGTGATCGTAGGCAATACTTTGCTAACCGATTATTTGGATTAAGGCCGAATTTTGACACAACTCAAACAAATCTTTTTATATTGAACTGTACCAGAACGAAACAATAGAACTGACTCGCCTGTAAGTACACATGAAACAGATGGATTCGACAAAGGCAACAATCTGGACAAGCTTGTTACTTGAATCTGCCGGAAGATTTTACGGGCCGGAATAATAAAAACTACATGATACTGCTTCGCAAACACCTACTGCACTTGCAAAACAGTATCAAGCTGCTTTTAATATTTTAGTTATCAACGCGGTGCAGAATACCGACATATTCCTAACGACGTTCGAACTGTGTTTCGAATCGCTTCACAATTGTAGCTCTTAGGTTTCTCGAAACAGGTACCAATAGAGTACCTCTAACAACAAGAAAGTCTCCTGTCGGAGGAACAAACACAAAAACATAAACAATTTTTGAAAATTTACAGTAGACGATAATGTTTTGTTCGCGGACAAATATACTGACCAGCCTCGCGAGGTCCATTGTACTCTTGAGAAAGTTCTCCGTCACGGAAGATTTTTAGGGTCGGGTAGCCAGAAACGCCATACTTTGAGCAGACATCCTTGCCGCTATCAGCCGTACAATCCACGGTGGCTAAAATCACGGGAGGATCGTTGTTCTTAAGGATTCCCGCAGCCTTGTCGAATTCCGGTGCAAGTCGTTTGCAGTGTCCGCACCTATATCGAATGGAAATCAAAAATAATGTTTGACAAATGTAAATACGGTGATCGGTGTTCGTACGAAATAAAAATATTTTTTATTAGGATAATCTATTGTAAATAAACGCTGTCAAGCAACCTTTACGGTTACAAAAAATCACGAACATTTGTGATGATGGAACAGTATCCTATAGAGATATTAAGACAAAGCAGGCCCTCAGTTTTAATAAGGATATAACAAATTGCATGCAGAAAATATTTTCTATTGCTCGTTGCATGTATGCTTTTTTCGTTCGGTTGAAATATTCTTTTTTGGTTCGAGTACGATGAAGAGATCTATCAAAAAACAAATACTCGCATAAAGAGAAGCCAACACTTCTTATTTTCTACGTCAGTGTGGTGACATTTTAGAGAAGTTTCCGAAATTCTTGCTCTATTCTCCGTCGCGAACTGAAAATTGCCATGCTACCTTAATCAACTAACGCAATGAGAAAACCAGCAGCACCACCAATGGAAATAATATACAAGCAAGTAAGCTGTTCAGTAGAAATAGGAATCTGATTGCGAACACGGGGTGGAGTACAAGACCCAACGAATAAATGACAGTACGTGGACATGTCATCTCGTGTGCATGAGATGGTCCATTAAACAATATCCAACGCTGGCTTTCCTACCTTGATCACTAGCAAAATGGCTAGGTCAGACTTCATGGGTCATATCGCAGTACACATTCATTATAATCCATAATAACAAATCTGATGATGTTCAACAGGCATAGAATTGAGTGCCAAATTTGCATATGGTACATGTTATACTTTTTTCACAAAGCTACGTGAACCTTCTTGAACGAAATGGGAAACCAAGGTCAGCACTAGTATGTGTATTTTTGACGTTTTCTGCAGGTTATAAACTTCCAAACTTCTTATTTTGCGAATAAACTGCAATGACGATACTAGAAATGAGTTATTAGCTACAGATAACATTCTGCAAAATCAACCAGGTCTTAGCTAATAAACGTTCACCGTAGATCCACCTTAGCTATCATCTTTTAGCTGTATTGGCTGCCAATATGCTAATCTCTACAACCCAACTAATTAGCATTTACCAAGTGTACTAGTATATCAAATGATTGAGTAGCACTACATATGATAATGAGCCTGCTCAGTCAGTGCAAGACACTGACAAGCTGCTACTTCTAAGCTGGTCTTATTTCCAGCATGGTCACGATTCCAAGTAACTGACCACAGTAACATTGGTATCGATTACAGAATTTTCGTTTCGATTACTGAAATGATAATCGCCATTGACACATGAAGTTATATAGTTCAGCTTCGAGATAAATAGTAAACTCTTCTCTATTCACGCCGTTTACCTTACGTTAACTGTATTTAGTGGCGACGTGCAGCCGAAGACGTTCAGGACTGATGCACCGCTCAATTTCTTATTTTATCGCATGTATCAACTAAATTTGTGTACAGATTATAAAACTTTACTGGCTCCGAACTCAACGCTGACAACATCACTAGCTTTTGACTATTCCTAGTCTGTATTCCGTTGTACTGTCAACCAATAATGTTCAGGATCACCGACCGGCTAGTGCTACGTCATCACAAAGCGCTCGCGAGTGGGAAACTGTATAAGAACACGTAAATGGGTCGTCATGTCTACGAAAAAAACTAGCATCGAACAAGCGACCCGGCTGTCCCAATACGAACAGCGCTAACCCCATTAGCAGTCGATCACAACACAACTGAGACAAATGGCACGCCGGCTACAGAAGATCGACTAAGTAAACAAGCAAAGCGGATTAAGCTTTCTGTACCATTATAATTATTGTTGCTGGCTGTCATGTTGACACAGGCCGCAATACCGGCTTATTAACAATATCATGTTAGTTGGCCGTGTCTAGCGGAGTTCAGCTACTTGCTCAACAATGATACGATTATATAGTAATACACGATATCGAGTACTAACCATGGAGCGAAGAATTTCACGAGCGCAACGGGGTATCCAGTGATCTTGCCCTCGAAGTTCTCCGTCATTTCAATGTAATTGTGGGCGCTCACTGTCGTGAAAAGCGCGACAATAAGCCCCGCACCCAAGGTCTTCATTATGAGATAGGAGGAATGGCTCCTCATTGCTCACAATACTATCTTGTACAGTCAGGCACGCCGATATCGGCCGACCTAAGAAGTGCCTCCGAAACAACTGCGCTGACACCGAGTCGCTATCCGGCCGTTTAACTTGATGCCAATCGCAGGCAACTCGGCCCATTGGACACGTCACTTGATACGAATGTGGTACGAATGGTGGAGAGGGTAGGTCTGATGGTGTGCGAATAATCTATCTTGCTAGGCCATTTGTTAATCTAAATAAATGTAAATACTATTGCTGATCGAAATCGCTTCAAATAACTGTTTCGTAACATGAAACGAATTATGTCTATGGCTGGTTTCGAACGTAGATCACAACACCTGTCTCTAAGCTTCTTGGGCAATCACGTTACTACTGTATTATCGGTGGGATGTCGCCATCTTCGCGGCCCATTGTCATCGAACTTCACAATGAGATAGACCATTTGTAGATATGTTGCTACGTTTAGTATACGTATACTACGCATAGCAGTAGACTACTATGATCTTATCTCAATTTCGCGCCCAAATTAAAATATGAAGAGTCTGATAATTATGAATTCTACGAGGCAAGGATCTGCATATATATAGTTAACTAAAAAAAAATTTACCACATGAACACTTAACAATGACCCTTCTGACAGATATAATAAATTTTATTAGTGCCTTTTTCATTACCTAGAAAATGATCAGAGGAATAGTTTACTAGGTGAAAATAGAAGACGTTTGTGGTACGGTTCAGTGAGAGTGAACCAAAAACAGGTGAGCGTTGTCTTGTTAATTTGAACAACTCGAGGTATGAATATTCTGTTTATAAGTGCAAGAGAGGTCTATACACCGTTACGTAAGACAAATCTATATGCGCCGTCGTTGCTGAAGTTCATATGCTGCTAGAGAATGCAAGATTTACTAAATGTGGGTTCCGCTGCTAAATTAAACTGACCACCGTTGCCAGTTTCGACGATGGAAATGGTGTATCTTTTACGGCTATTTTAGACTGTTGCAACGCCAATATAATCTGGGGTGCACGTTTTCTGACACTTCTGTTCGTTATCATGAGACACAGCTATACAGCAGCGTCCTGAGATAGTGCAGTTATTATTATTTTTGGTGAAATATTAGCTTGCGCGAGGGGGGTAGTAGCCGTACCACACGCTCTATTGTGCTTGTTGGCGGGAAACTTTATTCCAGTAAATACTCAGCTTGTTCCTGCAGTCTGTGCGTATTGTAAGCGTAGACGTGAATCGATCATTCTATATTTACTAGACCTCAACAAAGTAAATAGAATTTGTATTTTAATAGCTAATCCAATTGCAGTGATCGAGGCTGGGATTAACATAAAGTGCTGATAATAAGAAGTGTGGCTTCTGTAAGTTTATTAAATAACTTTGCTATATATATATATATACATGTATTAGTTTTATGCTGATTTTGATACGTATTGTATCAGAAGACCCTGTCAATAGCATGAATCCGTTGCCATGACGCCCATGTTAGCTCGTAGCTATAATTAATATTTTTTATTCAATATTAAATAAACGGTAGAACCAAATTATTGTCATGTATGTCTGATTAGACTTGTGAATATTGACGCGAAAAAGTTTTTGTGAAAAACAGTATTTCATCATAGAAAAATTCTATAGTTAGGTAGAATGATTTATCTGATTTTTAGCAGAACAAAAAATGTCGTCGCTGGAAGATCTTGGTCGGCGAGAGAGTGTTGAAGAAAGCGAAAAACGACGGATTCTACGCTCAGCTATCTTAGACCTAACCGACCAAGCCCAGCAAGATGACCTTCGCCTTGATCCCGAGCTCATCAAAAAGAGCAATCAGTTGGCAGCACAAATCAAGGAAGTTCCAGAAGCTTTGCTGGATTCGAGACTTGCCGTCATTCTCGGACAGAAAGGTATACATTTCTATCCTATCGGCGCTGACAAAATAAAACGCTTCTCGCACAATTTAGTCCCGTCAGCTAGTAAACCCCAATATTCCTAAATCAAAATAATAGTAGGGCCAGAGAACAGGTGCTGGGTGCAATTCTGACACAGTCGAGGACAAAAAAAATTTAGAGAATTTGTGGAGAGATTAGAGGGACCTGCCTATCACGCAGATCGCACATAGTAATACTAATGAGTATGACATAAGCAGGATCTGTAATATTAAATAGGCTGATGAGAGTAAAAACGCCTCTATACACATTGGAGACAGGATTTTGGATGCGAATTTTGCGGCTTCTACGAAAGTATATTGACTTTGTCAACCTATTCGCATGTGCTCGATTCATTGTGTAACTATGTCAAGCTAAGTGTGGACGACAAATAGGCGTTATTCGTACTGAAAATCTAATATCGTCGTGTCAGCCGATTCCGTATTATGGGTGTTTGCTGACGGAACGAGCTTTTTGTTAAGTACAGATGACGATCATTGGCACTAACGATGACCAAAACGGATCGTGATGGTTCTTAGCTAAACGCCCTTTTATTTGCCAAGTCAGAATGTGGAGGCTACATAGCAAGTACTTAAGTCCCGTTCGATATAAGAGGAGAAATCGCTTACGTTTTTCCTATGTTATTGTATTATATATGCACAATATATAATATATATTGTTATTACACTGCCTAGTAGAATATGATCTGCCTTATTGCCTGATAATCAGTTTACCTCTAATAGATCTAATGTATAAATGTACTCGACTGTATCGTCTGAGATAACAATGTTGAAACACGATATTTTTTTGCCGAATTTTTATGCCATAATGCAGGAATTTTTGAACTAGAAGAGAACACCGCATGGTAAATTTGTTCTAGTTTCTTCAAAATTACTTAGCAATAGTATGAGATAAATACGGTACTCGGGTAATCGATCAAAATTACCGAATTGCGATGCGTACGCGTTTATTACATTGAGCTCTAGTATTGACGTGTAACTGGGCCGGCCGAAGGTATTAGCTTTTAGTCGTCTAGCTGTATAATTTATGGATTGGATTACTGCAACTATACATATGATAGGTCAGGTACGAGGATCCATTTTGCCTAGACCCTATGGACTTTAAGAAGCACATAAATCAAGTTCTTACTGGATTTGCCAAGAAATTAGAACCTTTACATATACGGTTCACCTATCTTGAATAAAATAAAACAGTCATCTTACACTTAACATTCCAGTTAATTTTCCTAGCCTTCTCTATTTTGTTTTAACAATTCGTACCCGTCTTTGCATGCCCCCTATACTTTAGCCGTCAAGGCGTCGAGCAAGCTTTCGATCTCTGGAGTTAACTACAACACTTCTGATTTCCTGATGCATCTACGGCGAATTCTTAGTGGCCGTAGTTCCTCCTCCTCAAAAGCATCCTCTATAGATAATTTTTGTCTTTTGTCTCGGATGGTCCCTAGAAGAGACGCTAGACCAAAAACGCCAATCGCCGGCTCATTTAATTGCGATGACCTCAAAGAGAAACAAGTTCGGCGGAGGGTAAGTCCATCTGCAAAAAACGTGTTAATCAACAACTAAATTTGACTTTGATGAATTAAACCAACTCGTTATGCACCAGTGATATTTTTCACTAGCTATGCTGCCTCCAAATAACAGTACCTTTAGGTGGAATACTGCTTTGTACGTGAGTGGTACAAGTCGTCGTGTCAACGTAAAATTGGATTAAAACTAGACAATAAGGATAAATAACGAAATATAAAACTATGCTACTCTATTATTGTACCATATTATACTATACTTTAACGCCTTTGCGTGTAAGGTAAATGGGCAAAGATCTCGTTAATTTTTATGAATCATTCTTAATGCATTTTCTGACGCAGGCTGCTATGCAAAGTCAGAGGACTGAGGGACGAACAGAAGTTCGCCAAATTGCTTCAACAGACGGTTTAGAAGAGCCTACAACGAAAGCTGTGGATCGGATCTTTCGCGCTATTCGAAAGTTGCATGACAAGGGGCTAATGCCAGTTGATTTCTTTGAGTTCGTCATCGACCCTGAATCATTTTCAGCAACAGTTGAAAACATCTTCCATCTCAGGTGATAAATATCAATGATGGAAATTATTATACGGTTTGCTTGCTTATGTTTACGATCTACAATATACTTGATAATGACGGAGATAGGGTCATCATGTAATATTGAAGGACAGAAAAGGTATCGTGTCATAGTTGAACGCATCAATACGTCATTACATGCGATTCCAGTCGCGACATTTGTTGGAGATTGGTTGTCATAATTTGCTTTGTTCGTCCTTGTAAATTTCTTTTGTATTTATGTAGTTTAACCCAAATATATTTGAGGTCATTTTCGTGCGGAATGAGCCAGATATTCCAATTGAAAATAATAGTAATTAGAACAATAAATTTATTTTGCAGCTTCCTAGTTAAACAGAATCAGGTTGAGTTCAACATTGACGACGAGGGTGGGCCTTCACTGTCTTTCGTAACGAGTCAACAGACAACGCAAAAACGGAATATTGCAGCGAGCTATAGAAGAAGCACAGGCAGATCACAGAAGGAAGAAAGAACAAATGATCAAGATGAACCTTTGAGGTCAAGGACTGTTTACAGCAATCAAAATGACGAGGAAGAGCAAGTCGACTGCCAAATGGCTAGTGGTGACTGTTTTTCACAGGTTGATTACACGGTCATCGCCTCAATTAGCTTTAGGGAATGGCAAGATATTGTTGAAGCCTATGGTTTAACTGGAAAGTCGATCATAAAACGACTCGGGGGTAGTGGCAAGAGTTAAAAGCTCCTTACGCCCCATTGGGTCGATCATGACAAAAATTTGTTAATTTGGTTGGATTTAAGTTATTATTACGAAAAAGGTAACGACTTCAAGAATTTTTTTTGGTACAATATCAGCTATCGACCTATCAGGTCGATTCCGTAGATAAGTACAATTAATAAAAGTCTGCTACCTGCGTTTACCCGTTTCTGAACTGGCCACAAAGAATCTGCTGAATTTATTTTGTGTGTGCTATTAGTCGTCATTTATACGTAACGAGAAGAGGCTTCGCTCCGCGCCCACTTTACCCTGTCGGACTACTTGTAATAACGACAATGACGTGTAACGGGGAAGAAAAGACTCAATTTTTGAATAAAAAATTTAAACAAAAAAAAAACAGTTGGCAAGCATATGACATATAACAGCTAGGAATAGAACTTTACGAGCAACCAAAGAAAAATAAGATCAGAGCAACTACTTCACGTTGGACATTTTAAACGACCAAACCAACTAACAGCCAAAACTGATAATATATAATAGGCAGTTGTCGTTTAAACTAACAACCTGTGTGGCATACTCCAAGTTTCTTACAGAAAGTGACATGGCGTTATAAGGGCCAGAACGATGGCGGCTAATGGTCGGAACGACGAGAATTTTTACCTGAAAGTCAACAATATTGTGTATTTTAGGCCATAACGAACATTAAAGTGAATAGAACATTTGAGGATAAAGCTGAAACGTGTTATAAGATAAATATTAATTGTACAATGCACCATGTTGTAAACTAAAATACGTCTAAATTTGTATACACTCTATGTACGTTTCGTGTGCGACGTTCTGTTCGATATATTGATACGAAAACCGGAAGGCAAGTCTGCACACGTTACTACTTGCCTTTCGAGCTGATGTACAAATGTTTTTCCTTTATTTATGCAGCATAGTGTTTTAGTTAGGAACTATTATTAAATGGTTACATATAAAATAGGCTACATAGAATTTCCGCGGAATAAATTTTACACGGTACCTGTTACGCCGTGTACCTACTATTCATTACTAAGAAATGCCTATATCAATTTGAAATGGATCTTACCAAGATACTTTTGAATTGCACACCGTCGAATCATTAAATATTTAATTCAGTGAAGTCGGTTTCTTACAAATTTTATTTTGTAGACATTTCTGTGCAAGCCTCTCAATAAGCTATGATATCATTATTAAAAAAAAAAACATAAACATAATAATGCCTTAGGCCCCGCAATCGTAATCCATCGTCTGGATTAGTCTCTTCATTTTTTTGCATCAAAGAAATCAACAGTATCTTACATTCACCAGTAGCGAAACAATAACAAAGCTTACCCTAGATGAATTGTGATACAATATACGACTGAACATTACGATATTAGTCTAATATCTATTTTAAAAGTATCGTGTATTAACTTCGAATACGGCTCACAACTCTCATACAGTTTTGTACAGTCTTCAATATTCTTCTAAAACATATTGAAGACTACCTAACTCTGTTTCCTCGCTGTTACAGTAATGACCCTGGTAACCACTTTTCATCTAAGAGTGATTCTGGTGTGCGATCTCTCTTCGCTCAGTATGTCGATAGTTAGCTCCTGCTTGAGGTACAACTTCCAAACACGAAACCACACGAAGATTTTGAATCAACTAGGGGCTTCAACCTTTTCCTCGATCCAACATTCTCGATTATCCGTATTTATAAGTAATTGTGCCTTAGTTTGAAAAATTTATTTAAGCTTTTCTTTCTTAATGATTTTTAATATTATTTGCGATATTTGAATTTTTGTCTAGGTGATTATATCTGCGATACGCGCATTTAGCCCATGAGGCGGTCATTGTTTATTGGTTCTTAATATTTCTACAATATTTAATTGTACTTCGCAAGATGTTAGTTTTCTTTTACCTTTATCAACAACTGATCTTCAAAAGATTAGTTCAATTCTTGGTGCTCTACAAAAATCGATGTTATTTTTTACAACTAGGTCTCACATAGCGAAAATAATAACGATGTTTTTTGTTTTGCAATGAAGAATCAAATTTCACCAACTACGGACTTCTTTTATCAAAAGTAGCGTACTATGCACTGAATGTATTGAAATCTTCGAGGCATTATACCCTATTCGGCAAACACACAAAAAGAAAATTTTAAATTTTCGCGGGCTTCCTTCGGCCGCAAACGACACCCCTGATTATTTGATATCTCAGCCATATGTAGTGGCGAACCCTGAATTTCTGCCAAGTCGCAAATCAGTTCGAGTTTACAAGAGAGTTCCTTAGTATCAGATAGAGAATTCCGAGCAAAGATCAAAGGTTTGTTGTAGAAAGCCATTTCCATGCGCCGATCAGCTGGTGGGTGTTGTTTTCTGAAGTTGTGCGCTGAAAGGTGCTGTGCTGTGTATTCGGACGAAGTCGTGTACGAAATTTGTGAAATTGTCCAACAACTTATCACGGTTGTAACCTCCAAGGAAGTCGTTACGACACAGGGCTGGAGCAACCATCTCGGCCAACGGAGCGTCGAGGGTAAGTTTGACCTAGTAGCTTGTTTATTACAGGAAAATATTCAAGTCGGGGCACAAAGTCAAAGCCAAAATTAGCTGCACCGTTCGTCCGCTCGAGTCAACCTATAAAATACCCCCTAATAGAACTGTTGCTAACGCGGCCACTAACATTTCTACTTCAACTGTCATCGTTGTTCTTGCTAGGTGAGCAGCACTTTCTATATTCGTTGTGAATGGTTTTGGTGTGTGGCAGAGCTATTGGCAATAATGGAATAATGACCGTTGTTAGTGAATTGTGTATGGTGACCAGTGCAGTCTTTTAGCTTACTTTCTATGCGTATGAGCGTAAATAATAAGGTCGGTTCCTTTATCTGGCTTAATATTAGTAGAGCTCACTGTGTACATTCGAGGCCACTATGCTCGCGGCCGACGTCTGCCGCCGCCATCCCGCGCCGATTTGTCTATTGGGCTGTTTGCGTTAAATTGTGTGCGTGCGTCTACAGTGAGAGAAGAGTCGAACGACTAGACGATGCATCAATTGACGGGCCGGTATTAACGGACAGTCGGGTGGTTGCAGCAGATATACATATCTGCTCTCTGCAGTGTCTAGGTGGATAATAAGTGTGTGCGTATTGAACAGAACAAAAAAAAATAATATAGTAAGGCGAACATTGAAAACAAGTACGGCGCCTGCGGGGTGCAATGATAGGAAGTTTTTTTTGGCTGGTTAACTTTTCTATCGCCTGTGTTACTGCGATAAAGCGGCTGCTGCCACAGTTAGCCGTATGCGCCACGAGATATGGATGTTCGAACAGGATTACGAGAACAATAACGGCAACATTGATCTGTATTTGTTGTAGGCGTCAGACCAACAAGTGCGCTTATGGTACAATGCAATGATCCACGGTTCTGTAAACATAAAGGTCATTGTTGTACAGTATAACATGCAGATCATAAGCCCTTGGAAGTAATTTCTGGTCGAGTGTGGTATAACTAATCAAGGGAACGGTGCACTCTTAGAAGGCTACTTGCTTACAAATGTACAAATGATAGATAAAAGTACAGTCCTGACGAGTTGGCTTATCCCAGTGAAGAGGAAGCCCACCGTCTTATCTTTCGTTGGCGATGTGTACTTTTGTAGCCAGGGGTTCTTGATTCGTGTACTTGGCCCATGCGTTTATTTTTCGAGTCGCAGATCTTATGACCTCAAGCTTTGGCTATGGCAGCAAGGAGTTAGAAATGTCAATAAAGCTAGCGTGAACATGGAGAACAAGGCTGAAATCACAGCAGTTCATCCTTCACGGCACCGTTGGTAAACCGAATAATCGACTCCTCAAAATCCATCACGTACGTTAGTGAATGTATCTCACTTCGTATAACCTGTCGTGTTCAGAAGAATCGTCGATGTCGGCTGCGGTTCACCATCGAGATGTAATAAAGTTAGCACTCCTAAGGACGGTGAAAACAGTTATGCTGATCTCTTATAACTGAATAGTTCGCGGGACGGCACAAGCAATAGGCACACATGCTGCTGACAGCAACTACTACTTCTTCGAGCCTAAGCAAGCTTTCGAATTCACGGATATTTTAAGCTTTCACTCATTTACTTTTTCTCTTCCTTTAAATTGCTCATAAACATGGATCGATTCTTCTGAACGTGAAAGGTTATTCGAAATGAGATACATTCACTGAGGTACGTGATGGCATGAAACGGATTTTGAGTAGTCGGTCATTCGGTCTACTAATGCTGCCGTAAAAAATCAACAATGCACACTGTTATGACTTCAGCTTTCTTCTCTATATTCATATTAGCTTTGACACACAGCGATTACACAGCGCCAACAAACGCAGATCTTTACCGGGATAAGCCAAGTCATCGAGACTGTGTTTTTTCTATATATCATTAGTAAATTTATAACCTTCTAAAAAGGGATACGAGTGCACTGTTCTCTTGATTGGCTATAACACATTCGACTATTTATGATTTCCGAGAGCCCATAACTTACACGTCATACCGTACAATAATGACTATTATGTCTAGCTGAACCGTAGATCATTACATTGCACAACAAGCGTACATGTTAGTCTGACGCCTACAGCAGGTATAGATGTATGTTACCATTATTGTGCTCATGGTCCTGTTCGAACATCCATTATATCTCGTGGCGCATACAGCTAACGGCGATAGTAGCAGCTTTGTCGCAGTAACACAGGCGGTAGAAGAGTCAACCAGCCAAAGAAAAAAAGGAATCTTTCATTATTGCACCCCGCGGATGCCGTACTTGTTCGCCGTACTATTCTTTTCTGTTCTATTCGATACGCACACACCTAGTATCCAGCTAGATACTGAAGAGAGCAGATATGCATAACCTGGCCCGTCAATTGATGCATCGCGTAGTCGTTCGACTCTTCTCTCACTGTAGACGCACGCACACGATTTAACTCAAATAGCCCAATAGATAAATCGACGAGGAATAGCGGCGGCAGACGTCGGCCATGAACGTAGCAGACCCGAATGTACACAGAGCTTTACTAAAATTAAGCTAGACAAGGGAACCGACTTTATTTACGTTCATACGCGCAGAAAATGTACTAAAAGACGTTTCGTGCGATCACATGCCACAGTGAATGTAGCTCACTTCGAATAACCTGTCACGTTCAGAAGAATCGGTCCATGTTTATGAAAAGTTTAGAGGAAGAAAAAGAGAGTAAATGAGTGAAAGCTTAAAATATTCGTGCATTCGAAAGCTCGCTTAGGCTCTGTCGGGGAACCGGGTAGTTGTTGTTGTTGTCAGCAGCATGTGTGCCTTTGCGTGTGACGTCCTGCGAACTATTCAACTATAAGGGATTAGCGTGACCGCCTTCACCGTCGTTAGCAGAGCGAATTTTATACATCTTGACATCCCCCCCCCCCCCACGACGGACGCGATTACAGCAGCGAAGTCCAAGAAACAACTACGATTAATACAACGACGGCGGCGACAATAGCGAAAACACCAAGACTAACCGTTAGTACCACTGTCGCTACGGCTACTTGTGCAGGCAAAAAGACGAAGAGAACCGCCTCGGCTTCTGAAACGCAGTTTACAGCAACCGCGAAAAGGTGAGAAATCAAGTAACACCAGAGAGTCTTAATACAACAGGAAGACAGTACCGTTTCTGACAGAAGCAACCGGTCAGTAGCGCTGCTGACGTGTGCTTATCTAGCACGCGGCTATGCCGTTTCGACCTCGTTTGTACCACGCTGCGTCTATCGCTTTTGTGCAGACGTCTATACATAATGGTGGCAACGTGTATCGAGTAGTTTGAATCACGCAGGGCACGTGGCCAGTTTTGCTGTTAAAATTATAGGAACACAATCAGCTCTATGCTGGAACACAAAACCAGTTCGTAATATTAATTTAGTGTTGTTTTATTTCTAAGTGGCTGAGAAAGAGTAAAATGGAAAACAGTGTATCCAGCAGCACTTGATTGAAATTTCCCGCAGTTATTGCCACCATTGAGCCATATTTTAATGTGCATTGTTGTGTTGTATAACTTACTAACAAATGATTGACTTCGAAGTTCAAAAATTAGATCCAAAAATGTTTATAATAAAATGACTCGATTGCACATTTATGCACCACTCATCATACATTCCTTTCTGCTGCTATAAAAACATGTGTACGTTTTTTTTTTTTATAAAAAATGCTGACATAAGTTTGACTTCAAAACGCTTTGTATTCTAACAAAAGCAGATATTTCTGAACACGTGACATATCGTCTCCATTTGTCCGTGAACTTGGCGTTACGCTATTCAGCGCACGTACTATTCAGTCGACTGAGCTCTAGAATGCAAGCAAATTCTTAGGGTAGAGAAAGCCTATACTTAATTACGATGTTTCCCAAAAACAACGATAAAATGTTGATGTATTGCACAAACACTGATTCAATGATTTTTATATAACGATTATACTACTTGATGATCACTTATATTTTTCAATGTGCTGTCTAATTCAGTTGTTCCATACATTGTACAAATTCTAGTCGGATTAATGAACGGTTTGTTTTAATGTATTTTGGGTTCGCTCATACACTTTCCCATCTTATATGCCAGATCTAATAAATGATTTGTTTCAGATGGGGGACGAGCTCGGGAATATCGCTGTTGTCGTCGTGGGCGATTTCGGTCGATCCCCGCGAATGCAATACCACACGCTTTCGTTAGCTAATCACGGATACAATGTTTCTGTGGTGGCAGCACAGGGCTCACCGCCTATTAGGCAATTGCAGAATCACGATAAAGTCCACATAAACCTTATAAAAGATCTGCGCCTGTTATTTTGGCCGCGTCTCCTCCGCTATGTGACTAAAACGGTCTTCCAGACCGTGATGCTGTTGTGGCATTTACTGATTCGAATACCTCGACCTCGAGCAATTCTTGTTCAGAACCCCCCAAGCGTTCCGGCTGTCCCTTGTGTGTGGCTTGCTTGTAAAATTCGCGGAGCAAAGTTTATTGTTGACTGGCACAATTACGGCTTCACCATCCTAGGTATGAGCTTGAGAGAAGAAAGCATTCTTGTGAAACTGTACCGATTTATCGAATTTTATTTTGGGGCAAAGGCCGAATGCGGGTTCTGCGTATCCGAAGCAATGAAGTCCGACCTAGCTAGTAAGGGCATAGTAAATATTACTGTTCTACACGACAAGCCACCGGCAAGGTTTCAACCCATTGAATGGGGCAAACAGGAATGTTTGAAAAAAGTACACGAAGTGCTGGTCAGGCTATCAGTAACGCCTGGCATTTCAGGAATGCCAGATTTGGCCGAAAGTGCCACTAATACGGTACTCACGAGGCGAGAGCCTTCTGGAAAAGTGATACTCAAACCGCGGACTGAACGACCACTGCTCCTGGTTAGCACCACATCATGGACAGAGGACGAAGATTTCGGCTTGCTCTTCGCCGCACTGAAGAAATATGACAAGGCAGCTCAGCCTGAGGCGTCATCCATCATCTGCATCGTCACCGGGCAGGGTCCTCAAAAAGAGTTTTACGTGGAGAAAATTTCTCGACTAAAACTTAACAAAGTTAAGATCATGACGCCATGGCTCGAAATCGAAGACTACCCCTTCGTCTTATCGCTATGCGATCTCGGAGTCTGTCTTCACAAGAGCTCAAGTTCACTTGATCTACCGATGAAGATCGCGGACATGTTTGGATGCTGTGTTCCAGTTCTCGCCTGGAATTATCGTTGTATTTCCGAACTGGTTCAGCCAAACTCCACAGGCCTTCTGTTCGAAAGTTCGGACCAGCTATGTCGACACCTATTAAAGATGTGCGACGTGAAAAGCGCGCCCCTTTTGGACGGCTGGCGGGAAAATATCCGTCGTTGGCAGGAGCTCAGGTGGGAGCGACACTGGGAAATGTGCGCGAAAGACGCCTTCCTTTAGCAATCAGAGCAGATTTTTCGACGTGTAATGTTCTTTCGACTAGTATGTAACGCTAGTAGTGGCCGCTGCGGGTTCCGGCGTCGCCGTTGTTTAATTGTCCTAAAAGCGAACCTTTGGAGTAGGCGACCGTCACTACCGACGTCAGAAGCAAAGCCGATAACTGCGGTGACGACACAAGCTTCAGCAACAACAACACGTTGACGTCGATGATGCGCGCAAATTATTGCTGGGAAAATAAAGCAAGTGAACACGACAGCAGCAGCAACAGTGTGAAGCAGCTAGTCGTGCATGAACAGACATGACATTTGAAGATGCTAATGATGACAAAGAGGTGACGCAGCTACCCGCTATCAAGAGAACCAGTGGAGACAACTTGCTTGGAGCGCGGAACGTGTATTGTAACTTGTCTGTATACGCGTGTATAATAATTACTATAATCACATATAATGGCAGACAGGCGAACAGATCTACAGAATGTTTGTTACACCTGTGTAAGCGTAGTGATACTGTTCGCTGTTGGCCGTTTTTGTATCAATGTTCTCGTCATAATATATACATATATTATATTAGTTACGTTTAATCAGGTAAACACAGAGGTTTACAAACATAGACACATAGTATACACGGACGGGCACACAGCAGAAAAGATTCGTGTGACTAACAATAAACAAATTGGGTTTTATTCTGTAACATTCCGCCCTGTCGTGTTATTATTTGTCAAGCAGACTAATTTAATGAGACAAAATGAAGTTTATCCCTATTACAAATCTCTCTGATGCTGGTACGAGCAATAGATTACATTTGACGGCACCTACGACCATCGGTGCTTTTGTGGCTTCTGCAATCGACACTGTAATACCTAGTGTTTGTGGTAGTTGACGTAAAAAAACGCTAGACACGTGACGTAAAAAACGCTAGACACGTAACAGTATAGAGAGGAAGGACGACTCGGATGTTGCATTTAATGCCGCTCATCAGGAATAAAAGAATTTTCTATTACCTTGTGCTGGTGTCAGTGATGTACTGTTTATGGTGGCAACTTCTGAAACGCTGCCATTGCTTGCGTTAATTTGCCCAGACATAGTGAAGACAAGATGTGGAGTGGAAGGCAAGAGATCCGACGCAACAATATGGACTCTCATGTGTGCATTTTGAAAATGTGACGAAAATCTGTTGATGGGATTTTTTTCGCATTTACGGAAAACGGGTGTATCCAAAAATATCGTTATATATATATATATATATATATATATATATATATATATATATATATATATATATCACGGAATCTAAGCATGGCAATGTCAATTCGATTGGTCTTACTGACCTGAAATTAGGCGTCGTTTAATTTCGCCTTTTGTACCCGCCTGATTTTGATTTTGACCTACCTTTGTTTAGAACGAATGGTGGGTTCTCGGCATGACCCAGTAATCGTTTTTTTTCATCAAATACCTGTATGCTGATTTCTCTCTGCAGCCGAGTACTTGTAATTCTAATTACGGATAAATGCAACAGTAAGCATTTAATTTAAATGATGACAAAACTATTCGTTTTTTACGATGAGGCTTATTCAGAATGAAGGTGATGTAAATCTATTTCAGATCTATACGGCTATGAAAATCTATTGCCACATGCGGCGTGGAGAAATATTTATCGAGAGGAGACGAATATATTAATAGGAGTATTTACTAGTCCTAGTGCACTTTTTACTGCCACGCCCACCAATTCAGTCACCAGCCTAAAAACCGGCCGGGATCTTTTTGTAGTCAAATAATTCTTTCCTGACGTAATTGTGACTGTGTATATGGGTCGAGAAACGTGGCTAGATTTAACCTTACTGAAACGTTTATAGTATAACTATATCAAATCGGAGCACAGGTGTGACGGTAGGCGGTGACGCGTAAATATCCTACTGATTTGAGTAATGCTGAATACGATTGACTAGACCATAAGAAAAAAACTCTTGGAAGACAAAAGGTATTTTTTTTTTTAGTGTATGGTTACAGAACTTAAGTAGCTATATTTGGAGTAATCATTTTATCGATGGTTATTACTAAACTTAAATGAACCATACTCGTGTGAAGCAAGCAACAAGAAAATTGCAGAATTATATTGAACTATTCTGAGCGAATAAACGGTGACGCCGGCGAATATTATTTGTGTCGTACTCGATGATCAGTTGCGGGCTGTCGTTTTCAGAGCGACCTATGCTAGAGTCAACTGTACCTGTCTGACCCTTGGCAAACTGCAAACCATGTCAAAGATAGAACATCTTTGACGACTAGCGAGAACAGACGTGAAAAAACAAAACGTGCAGGTAAAGCATAGCGGTTCTGTTTTCGTTCAACTGCCTGCAGTTATTCTTACTATTCAGAGCAATATTGCGGCGAACATTTAATAGCCCTAAGCTGGCTTTTATCTGTCTTGTCAATGGGACCAGTTCGACCTAGGTTAAATTTGTGACTGCTGTTCATTGTTAGCAGCGGAATCGATTTGCCCTGCTTCACAATTAGCAAGCAGGATGGCTCCTATTTGGTAATTATGAAGCTCCTACAAATGCTATAAATACCAACGGTTTAAAACTTGATGCCTTTGTTAAGATACTGAGCGGCAGGCAAACCTTTTTATCCGTCAAACGATATGTGTGTTGGCAAATCGCCTGTAGTGCTAAGGTGCTTGTCGTCATGATGGGTTTCAAAAAATAGTTTTATGTATCTACAAGTACATCACCATTCAAAACATATGGTTAATTAAAAGCTAAGATACTGTATGCAAAAAAATCCTTTGAAAAGAAATTAGCTTTTATGTCTTGTTGTTTTTAAGTTCACGATAGTGCTTTTGTTGCAACCGAACGAACGCCTCGCCGAGTTCTGTATTGTATGCAATATGCTGACAAGTTCCTCGCATTTATTTATTATCGCTGTGTAATAGAAGTGACAGTATCTTTTTCGCGGTATCTGAGTTATTCTATTGCGGTCAATTCGACGATGACAGTGAGCCATCATAGGTCGGGAAGATGGCTCTACGTAAACTTTACACGACATACTTTTCTATCCTGCTCAATATGTGTATTACTCGAGTGAATTTTGTAGCATGACTTCAAAATCTACCATCTTCCTGCATTTTCGATATTAGGAGTGCGTAATTCAATGTAATATATCGGCAATATTTTTTTTTACTCTCGTGTTCTTAGGTTGGGAGGGAGCAAATTGACCTTCTAACTGCTCTGCGTGAAATCAATTCGATTTGTTAGTTTGTCTGAATAAGTTCCGTGTTGTATATGTATATACACTAACACACATTACTGCCTTGGTTAAGAACGACGTCTTCAAAGGCAACAGTTTTGAGACAAGTCTATCATCTAAAAATCGATTTTGTTTCTGATTTGCTGTCATAAAACGCTATCTAAAGGACAAAATCACCCACATATATCTAAACCACGGCATTTTACAGAACTCACCTAACTGCATTGGACAAATGCGAACAAATCAGTAATGCTCCATGTCCCGGCCTTTTGACCGTAAAATAATTTTTGCCATTTATATACGGGGAGGTCGGTGGGGACTTAGTTTACGATAATCCTAAAACTCCGTCATATTGACATTGCAATTAGGAAGACAATTTACCTTTGGTGACGTCGACATTTCGATACAGTCCGACCGATGCACTGTATGTCGGATAAGTATACACTTCAGCTTTGAGTACAACTTTGCAAGAATATTGTAGTAACTATAACAAAATAAAAAGGCGGTAAAACCTTTTGATATCATTGATGCTGTTCTTAAATGATAGTAAAAGTAAACAAATGTCACAAGTTAACGACTTCGGTGCAGGTCAACAATCTTATCTTGAATTACTACTGTTTGTACGATGACCAATATTTTGTGGTTATGGATGCCGACTAGACATAGTCTGGTAGTATTCATTAACCGTAAACGACGGGCTTGTTATTTATGTGAACTCATTCAATGAAGAGCATTGTAACCAGCGATGCTTCGTCTATTCGTTTCTGTGGAAATACATTAGTCAGTCGTTACCTCAGTTGCCGTTAATAATAGTTGATTCCGATTGAAATTGTCGAAAAACCTTGACACAAATTTGGATTTGTACCCTTGGTGAAATTAAAATGCGCGGTAGACGCGTATGATAGCTACTACTCAGTGGTGATTACTAAACGAAAAAGATTATACGATGGTAGTCGAAATTTCCTTAGGCAATAGTTGTTCATGGCTGCCGAGGGAATTCTGGTCAGCCGATTAGGTCTGAGTCTATCAGCAGTTTGGGTGTTTGGGTTTATATATGAAATGCTCAAGACCATCCAAGTTCGTGTGTGTCCATAGAACACTCTCTAGAGACAATTATGGGGTCTGTTTGTTATATTAGAAGTTGGCCGGCTAATTTCTAGCCCAGCTAAAAATAGTAAAGTAGTGAAATGAAAACACTTGATTATTTCAATGAGGTTGAATAATGTGAGTATCACTACATTATTTCAGTTTCGTTGAAGGGCTACCATGTTTGAGTGTTTATCAAGCCTTTATACACGTCATTGACATTGACGCATCACGTGAGATATCTATGTGGACAGCATACATGGCTACATATAGAAGTTCGGTAGCTATGTTATACTATATCGACATTGTTTTCCGTCAACCATTATGTTTATATGGACAGACCGTGGCATAGCTAAAGTCTGTACAATACCTTCCTTCAATTGTTGAATAACGCAATCCGTAATTGTCGTTTGTTTGCGTTGTTTCGGCTCAAAGTCAGCAAATGACCTACGGACAATCGAAACGTTCCCACTTCTCTCATGTGTCTTCAAAGCCGTAGTGGAGTTAATATTGTAGCTCTACATATTAGCCGAATAGAAATTTAAGAGATTCAGTGGTTTTGGTGACTGAAGTGGCCGCTGGAGCCTGCCGACGACTTTCCCGCCCTCTCGTTACCGCACCTTCTGCAGGTGTTGGTAACGTCTGCGTTATTGGTGATCTTCCTTGCGGCGTTGATCTTGGCGACAACGCCTATGACGACAAAAGTCTCAGCAAACGCATATGCACCATCAGCAGGCAGCAGTGGAAAGGGCAGCGGTAGCAGCACTCTTCGCCACTGCTTTAGCCACATCAGTGGCTAAGCTGTCGTCTACGTCCGGCCGGCGGCGGTGACAACGCGAGCACCGATGCTATAGGCCAGTACAAGGGTGGTGCGCGCTTTTGTACAAGTGCCCGCGCGCGTCGCCACCTACCGCCACACCGATGCGTGCCGTCTCTTTGACAGGAGTGCTAACAAGGGTAAATTCAGTTGTCGTCACACAGTCGCAGCGGGAGAACGCATCTTCTTGCGGTCGGTGCGGGCCGCTTGGTCATCATCTCGCTAATGTTGGTAGTCGTGGTGGTGCTACTGTTGCTGGCGCAGCCGTCGCCGTTGTCAACTGATAGCGGCAACGTCTGTGTTTTATTTGCGTCTGTTACGGCCGCCGGTTTAGTAGCCAGCCAGCTAGCCTAACTGATTGACTACTGCCGCCGTCGTGTTACTTCGTCTTTTTTTGCAAGAGTCTAATATATATATATATATATATTTAATAATAATAATAATCTAACTAATGCAACGCATTAGCACATCGTTGGCGTCGGCGGAGGACCCATCGCTGAAGAGTCCGGGCTCAACAATTGTGGACTACTGTAGATTGCGAAAAACTCACGGCAATCGCGATTGATGCCTTTGTAGTGAAGGTTAGCTGGGCTAAGCTGTCTATACGGGCCTGATGGAGCGACGCTGGTGACCCATTGTTGAAGGCACGTGATGAACACTTTTGTGAACCCCTTACCAAACGTAACTATTTGAGCGGAAAACTTCCAAACAGACAGCCAGGCAAATACGAAGCTACCCAGACAGCAAGACTGAGATAGCTGTGATTTACTTCAGCTGCAAGTAAGCTGGTCTGGATCGGCTAGATTGATAGATAGGTCGGCGAATTAAGTACCTCTACATAGCGTGGTGTAAACCCTATCTAAGTTGAATTGAGGTGATAACCGCAATAGCCAGTGATCAGGTAGCTGATGCGCGAAGATTCATTCACCGGTGTCTATATTTTGATAGCGGATCATTAGATTAACTCCATCTTATTGAGAGCACTAGTGTCAACTGCGACTCCAAGCCGTTTCAACTATGTGACTTCCTCCATTCGGACATCAAAGAAGCGCTTATGAGAGAGGCAGCTGTGAGAGGTCTAGGGCGAATCCAATCCAATAATACAAGCAGCTCTCGCAAAGGCGGGTCGGCAGTGATCAGAACTAAGGTGATGATCTAGAGTGGAGAAAACGGAAGCCAGTAAGTTTAATGTAGAGCTATTACCGTGTAGTGCTGCCTTAAAGATCCCCTGCCATTGTCGAAGTCGCCATTAGTCTTGGGGAGCAAAATATGGCTAAAGAATTAACTAGACCATCGTAGTGGAAACTGCATTGCATTATTGAAACAGGATTAATATGACTAGCAGTCATCGGTGAAGTAGAACACGTCAACAAATATAGGATAGTTAATGAGGACATCTGCCGAAATACAGTTGGAGGACCATTTTAAATGGTGCGCGCATATCTCTCAAGCTAATCTAAACGTGAGAACGTGTGCGCCTCTACGCGCAGTATTTTCGTTTAGTGGTTACACGCTATATGTAGGACCGTTGCCGATTGAATCATCGTTCATCGAATTGAGCATTATGTTCAAGTGGACCCTTCGTGACGGATTCATTGAGTTAGTAGAGATCAAAGACAGTGACCTCAATATGAACGACGACAACAACAAAAACAACAACAATGATAGCAATAATAACAACCTCAGCAACGAACAGCAGCAGCAGTAAGTAGATGAATCATCACTCAGAGGAGCGTAGAGAAGGACGAAATAAACAGCTTGGAGCCGCTTTGCTACTACTGGTACAAACACCGAGACTCTGTTCGGTTGCTCCTGTGTGTAACGTATCGGCTATTCTATAGGCCGAATGATTTGACCGTTCGTGAAAATAGCTGTTTCTAAATCAGAGTGACGAAGATAAGTTTTAAGAGATGTATGGAAATTTTTGCCTCTAGCATATATTCACAACTGAACCAATAGATAGGCTTAAAATGCAAGCCAGGAATTTAAGCTGTTATTGGTTTTTCAAATTTTATCTTCACGCTTTTTCGGCGCCGCACACATTATTCGATGTTTTATGGTATGGTGTTGCGCTCCAAGTGGCAAATAACACGTTTTTACCTAAATTTATACTAATGTTTGGAGTTATATTAAATCAAAGCCATCACTTTGACCAAAGAAAAAGAAACTGTACTGGTGATTATGCCAAATTAATTTGGATTTGATTTACTGGCTATTATAAATGTCTAATTTAATATTTTTTGTGATCTTTTGTCAATAAGCATCGTTACTAATATTTCTAGTTAGATTCTCGTTAGCAATAAGGACAATGGGGCTAAGTAGTTGCGTAGTTTATTATGTTCCTTCAACAGATTGTATAAGCATGTAATTAACGGAGTACTTTTTGTTCGCGGTTCCTTTGTGTACTGTTTGCCTTTCGTTTGCGTGGGTATTATAGATCACCCGTATTACCGAGGAAATTGGAGCATAACAGTTGCACCGAACGCGGTGCACAGATTATTGTTCATTCGTCTCCCGTTCACTACGAACCGAAGGATGTGAGAAAATTCAGCCTGACCAGTAGGTTTTTACCACCGATGCCTCCGCCAGGCGCCGATGGTGAAAATGCCAAGCCCCGTAAGTGCTATTACACACCACTCTATTACGCATGATGAGACGATCTAACTAATGTAATGTGACTTAGTATTAAGATGACAAAGAGCAAAACAACATGGCTACTTATCTCGAACAAAAATACGCTAATTATAAAGAGCAATCAATATATTTTATACTTCTCCAAAAACGTGTTCTTATGCACTATTTGATAAATCAATATTTGCATTTCTAAACTGCTCGCATGATCCTAGAGTATTTTAGCGAATCATACGTCAATTTTCTCGGACCTGCTGAAGTATTCGAGATGTTCAAGCCGCCTCACGACTACGTAGAGGCACAGTTTAAAAATTTTTTTCCTTCAATATCAAATGTCAGTGACTGATTTATCAGTTCTACGCCTATCGTTTGTAAATAACTGAATTACCAAACGGATGTTGAGAAATCAACAGGGGCAAGGAAATCAGCAGTCGACCCGTACTGGTCATAGAACAAGAAAAATTTTTCGAATAGAAAAATATCCATATCCTTCTATAATTCACACAGCAAAAAGATGTTCTGAACATTACTAATATGGATCCATATTGAAGGAAAATCTCTTAAGGGTTATATTTCATTACTGAAACAAACATGGGCAAGGGTCCGTCCTGTTTTGAAACCAACGCTACTATTTCACTTATTGGGCAAAATCCATACGTTTTGAGTAAGTCATTTTCTACTGTAAAATTGTACTAAGAGCAGCAATGTGATGAGTATCTCTCAACGGTTTACAGGCTTAATATGCAAAGTTGATAGACCATAACAAAAGCAGATCAATCTACTTGTATATGTCTTTAGTTGATGGGATCCAAAAAAAGGAGTCCGAATAAAACGGGTTAACGCTAAAGCGTTTGGTATAAAGGAAACTTGTACAAGGCCAAGCTTTAGCCTGTTATAGAGACGCTGCATAACATATTTGCTAATTCACGTGTGCGAACAGTTCAGTGCGTTTCCTGAACGTCGTCGAAATATTTAAAAAAGTTGTCTCAATGGCGTTTAGAATCGCTCAGAACGATGTTATACTGAATAAATTGAGTTGATAAATCTATTCAGCTTAATTCAAGGGTGTATTTTTGGAAAACTAGCTAAATTATTTTAATATCTCCGAAATCTAAGACGTTTTTTGAAGCAGATTCTTAAAAAACGAGATAGATTTAAGTGAATATAACGAAGACAATTACAATAACATCTATTGAAATCTTTTCAAAAAACCATTGTAGTACAAGCTGCTTGAAAGTTTTCCGCCCGTACAATTAATATGAGATACGGTCTCGTCGCCAAGTCTAGCCCATGACTTTTAAACGTACAAGGAGTGCGAACTTATTGTAGAAAAATTATTATTGGAAGCTTATTATGTAGAAAGGTATTTTTTAGTTGAAACAGCGGTAGTAACATGTTAAGCAATAATTAAACAATTTGACTCAGCACATGCGAATGGCAAGACTTAATGAGTACGATGATGCCGGGTTACGTAAATGGGGATAGATTAAATTTATATAATATATAAGCACAGAGAAATTGTTTTGAAAGAACAAGCCATTATTTTAACATGTCAATTTTGATTTGTTTCAGCGATGCCGTGGTTCGGCATGGACATTGGGGGCACATTGGCTAAACTCGTCTATTTCGAGCCAACTGATCTCGGTCCTGATGAAACCAATAGTGAGCATGAAAACCTGCGGACTATTAAACACTACCTCAAGGTGAGGTCCTGCCTTTGGCAGTGAATGACAGGTTCAGTTGATTTGATTATATTGTTTTTTATGACTTACATCTTTGCCGTAAATGGCTTGAACGTGGCTTCTAGGCTGGTAGTACACCAGGTGGATTGCCAAAAACTGTAATGTGTGTTTTTCATACCAGGATTACGAGACCTTCATCAGTAGAACTGGTGACCCCGTTCGCCCAATAGAAATTGTGAGTCTGTGTAACAAATTTATGAAGAGAAATATCTAAAAATAACTTCAGGAAGTCAGCGCTGAGTTTTCGACAAGACGTTCCACTAATATCGGTATAGTCCGCACAAACATACCACAACTCAGCTTATCTCTGACGCCCACTTTGGTGTCGAGGTGCTCAAATTGATCTGCGTGTGAAGAGCAGTGAGGTTCTGTCCAAATGGAGCTCCAGCCTTTTGTGTGAGTCACCAACGGACGTAGTCCGTTCCTAGCCGAGGCAGACCCATCCAAAAATCTCGTAATTTCACTTCATTCGTAGATTTCAATTAACAATTATTTTTACGAGGCAAAATCCCTTTTAAGTAAATTTTTTTGAACAAGAATTCACTCCGCGTATATATAAGGCATAACAAATTTAACCAAAGAAATGAGATGGTATTAGCATTTCTCATTTGGGATTGTAATAATTTCCGCTACAACTTTTTTAGTGTCCGACAACCGGTCTTAATACAGTCTTTATAGACTTATCATTAACTCGGCGGATGGCATTTTGGCATTTGTTTAATTTAACACCGCGTATGTTCTTTGATATTGCAATCTATCCAACTGAGCTATCCTTCTTTGCTACACCTGGGTATCATAACGCTTACCACTGTATATTTGACGACTGTATCACACCTCGCAGGGCGTTATCGGATAGTAAGATATTGGCAATAGCAGTATACAAAGTTTTCAACTTCTAACAGAACACCTAGATGAGACTTGGTAGATATTACATTAATCAAATTAATCTTTTTTTTTTCTATAGCAGAGCCGACAACTCATACGACTGTCCTTTGCTGTGTCATTTTTGTCGCACAATAGCCTGACGCTAAATACTCATGTTACCAGCTCTTCGCACTCACATGACGAGACTTCGTAAGTGTCTGGTATTAGCGCGTGTCAGTCTTACGCGACTCTTTTATTGACTTATTGTTACACCAGCAGTTGGCTGTTCATAAATAAGGTTGTCGTTATTTTGCGTCACGTCCAGTGGCACGTAGAAGCAAGAATAAATATTCTTCTGATGCTTCACGTCTTGAGATGCTCATCAACGGAATAAACTCGCTTTTACTCGCATTAAAAGAAAACAGGCAAGCAAATCCATACATTTATTAGTTAGGCATATTTTTTGTATGCATTTCATTGGTGTCTCATATACAGCGCATAGACACGCACACACATAACTTCATTAAGCTGTACGTATTCGTCTCTACGGAACGTGCTTATCTATCTTTAAGTTTTATCGGGTGAGGGCATTTTTCGTCTACGTGATTTTGATTTTCAACAATATGTCGAGCGCTCCCAGGCCGAATGTGGCGTGATTGCATGTCAAGGTCAGCAGTACGCTCCAAGGGGAGGATTGGTTCGCGGCACCTGGCGTGCCACAATCGCTGCGATTTCTGGAGTGTATGCCAGTAAAGGAATGAATCCAAACAGACTGTGCTAACATTGTTTCCGTGAAAAAATTCTACCGTCTTACGCGAAACAGCATTCGCTATTGCATTCAGCTACGTGTAAGTGACGATGATTTGTTTTGTAAGACTATACGGGCACGTTATACGAGATCGTGTCCACTTTAGGAATAGTCTCAGCGCTATACTTTATTCGCTAGCAATTTCTCTTTTTCACCAAAGAAAATACAGGGACGCAAAACAGAGAAGTTCCGGTACGTTCCTTGTGAATGCTAGGTATCACAAATAAATTCATTGTATCAATGTCACTATCCTCACCATGACCCAACTATTCAGGTCGAGCATGACACGAGAACAAATTCTAACAAACACGCGGTGGTATCTGTTCGTTGAGACAGGGCAATAACAAGTGAGTGGACCCGACTGGTCCAGTTTGTTCTCGTTTGTTTCGTAAATTTTATACTTAGAGTTCCACTTTAGAATACAGGTCGGATTAAAAGCGTGCTCTGCTCTTTGTTGTTGTGATCATTATATATTTAGCGTTAACGAGAGAATCGTTGCCCGTACGATGTTGGCTTGAGCTCTTAGACAAACTGAGATGGAAAGCAAACTGCAAACCTCATGTTTGACGTACGATGTAGTAGTGAAAATGACCAGATTCAAATTAGGTTTGCTTTGAACTAAAAATTCAAGGTTGTTGGCTATTCGTTTCGTTATCCGATGCCGAAAGATGATGCGCGTTAACGCAAAGCAATACGCGACCGTACTTCATGTGTGATCGTGTGTGGTGAATAACATCACTATGTAACAATCTTATTTGCATTATCATGTGTCGAACGTTATATCTTTGAATGCCTCAATCAAATGCGTATCACTTATCTGGAATAGCGGTGGTCATGGCTGCAGTATTTAGGCAAAACAATTGACTTGCCTTCTATAAACATGAAAACAATTCTCTACGAGAATAAGTCTAGCAGTCAATAACGTCCCTATATGCTGACACAGTTAAAAGAAGTATATAAATATGAAAAAAAATAATGACCGTTATTATCTAAATAGCCTTTTTTAAAGAACTGTTACTATTGTTAAACAACTGTCATGTCCGCTGCCCTTATTTCGTTCATCCCACCATTGTCGAAACGAGCGAAGGTAAGACGACAATGCGACGAAATACAAGTCTTCCATTGGCCTTACGGTGCTTTTCGTCATCCTATTGTATTGCACTAATGCCACATTATGTTGCCTATCTGTTTATATCCTTCAGCGGATGTGCCTGTACTGAAGGAGTGTGGTTAGTGGCTAGATGGTGTGGCAAAGCTGGCAACCGATACTTTTCGTGGTTGGACAAATGACGGTTTTGCCACCGTTCATGCTTAGGCATGTCTAACAAGACGATGTAATTAGAATGCACTGTTTGCCACTGTTAAACGTATTGAGTAGTAGTTTCAGTATTGAGTTAGTATAACCTGCGGAACACGCAAGAGAAAAATCGTAAAAGAAAAAATAATTGTGTTTTTAACGATCGTTATTTTTATAATCCCCTCGGTAGATTGCTACTGAATACTGTTCATAAACGTTCGGTGAAATGATTAACTATTCATCATTCCGAAAGTCAACCTCTTTTTGTTTTAGAGGGAATATCACCGTGAACGGTTAAGGCCATTGTAGCTAGCTCACTAAAATACAGCCCATATGATACGACGATAGAAAACTTTACCGAATATTTCATTTACCTGTTTATTATTTATAAACATGTAAATGTTTATAAATAAACATGTTCGTTCGTTTTGTCTGTTGCGCTTTTTCTTTTTTACACTTCGTTTCTTTTTCTTTTACTTTGCAGAGCAACAAAGCCTATGGCAAGACTGGCAAGCGGGATACGCATCTCGAGATGGAGCGTTGTCGAATGGGCGGCCGAGTGGGAACACTGCACTTCATTCGCTTCCCAACGTCTGAAATGCAGGCGTTTATGGCGCTTGCCAAAAGCAAAGGGATAGCGTCAATGGCGACGACCATATGCGCAACGGGTGGTGGGGCGCACTTTTTCGAAGAGCAGTTCCGGGAGGTAGGCAAGGTGTGAAAATTTAACGGTTTTTTTTACCTTTTTAACCCAATCGACTAAATTTGATAGAACCTATTAAATAGGAACGGCATGACTCTCTTCCTTCTCCGAATCTCTTCAGCACTAAAATCTACCATCTTCACCGTGAGCGTCATGATAGCTATGATCAGAATAAAAAGTGTCCATTTGCCTGTTGTGCATGAATATATAATCTCAGAATAATGATATAACGCTAGTGTAAACAACAGTAACGGGAGAATGCCTATCATAATAATACTGGTAATATGCACCCATAACACAGTTCCAATACGTTTCAACAAGCACTTCTGTACACGACCTAGTTCGACAGCTACATTACATTCGTTAATCACTGTTCGATAGGATTCACTAACAATTACATTGCAATCCCATGTATGTTTGCGGTGTCTGCTCTTCCGCCCGTGCTTTCGATGGTTGTTGTTTCCCCTTTTCAGGAGCTGAACTTAACGTTACATAAATTTGACGAATTAGATTCACTGATCCGGGGAATTCACTATATAGAGGCGTGCAATCCTCTCAATGAGTGCTACTACTTCCGCTGTCCGATGGACTCACGTCAATGCGAGAAAGTTCCGTACGATTTCTCGAATCCATATCCGTACCTCGTTGTAAATATCGGTTCTGGCGTTAGCATACTGGCCGTTTACTCGCCAACCGAGTACAAACGTGTGACGGGTACCAGGTAAACAATGGTTAATTTTTTTTTTTCTGCTTTTGCGATTTTTACCGCCTATTGAGCTGTTCAAAGCATCGAAGAGAAAGGAGCACCGGGCAGTTATTACGTTTGTTACCTCTTGTTATATATAATGGATAATTAGCTACGATTCCAGTAGGCTACGCCTTTATAAAATAATATGGTGTTATCGCATATATATATATATATATGTATATATACATTAAGTAATATATAACCATCTATTTTATCTTTGTTTACGTCGCCATCCTGTATAAACGTAGTTTGGGCGGAGGAACGTTTCTTGGTCTGTGCTGTTTACTGACAGGCTGTGAGACTTTTGAAGAGGCGATTGAACTCGCCGAAAAAGGTGACTCTCAAAAGGTCGACAAGCTTGTCAAGGACATCTATGGAGGTGACTATCCAAAATTTGATCTCCGAGCTGATACTGTGGCGTCGTCATTTGGTAATATGAACTGTGCTTGGCGGAGAAAATTGGCAACTAAGGAAGATCTAGCCCGAGCAACACTTGCCACAATCACGAACAATATCGGTTCCATCGCCAGAATGTGCGCCATTAATGAGGTACGCATTTCCTGTAGCCTTCTGTCGTCTTCAGTACGAAACCCCGATCCAATAAATGTGTGCCTATGCATGAGGGCTCACCATGTGAACTGCTAAATAGAGAATATAGTCACTTTTCTTTGTAGCGTAAATCAAAACGATAGCATTGGCTACAGTCAGTTGTCTATTTCAGGGTATAACCCGTGTGGTGTTTGTGGGAAACTTCTTACGGGTGAACGCACTCTCCATGCGGATGCTTGCCTATGCAATGCATTTCTGGTCCAAGGGCACGCTAAAAGCGCTTTTCCTTGAGCATGAAGTAAGTAGACAGAGCACATACTATAACCGTATTACCTACAGAGTCGAATGAAATCGCGTTCTATCCTGCGGGACTAGATTAGATGATTATGCTATGTAAACAAATTATATTCAAGGACAACATTGTTGACTCTTTTCTAATCGGATGAATTCCTTTTCTTTTTCCCTTGTTTCGTGTCCTACCACCTCGTGTTTTCCTTAGGGCTACTTTGGCGCCGTTGGCTGTCTCATGGAACTGCTCAAATCAGGCAATTAAGGCGTTACATTCATCATCGCAGTCATTTTTTTGCCGCCAAAACGCTGGACGAACGAAGATACCGATAACTAATGTATATATATATATATATATGATGGTTACACGTTTTGGCTATCGTGATCAGGACATATGTAACACTACAATTCTATACAACAAGAAGTAAAGCACAACGGAGACAAACCGAGCAAACACACTGCTGCTAGTATATTCCTGGTTGGTTCCATGTTAGGTATGATAACATAGGCCACAAATAGCAAGAAAGAAAGGCTAAAGCTCCGTAAAAAAAATTCACCCGCACGACAGGGGAAGGAACTGAGAGCTCACTGATGTGTCATCATTCTCATCACTTCGAGTATCATTCGCCATGCTACTAGCAACAAAAAACAAATATCTATATGTAAAACAAGCATACATATATGTGAACGAACCTAGACGAAGAAAGAGATTTGACAATGAACATATTGTTTCAGCTATTTATTTTTCTCATCTAGAATGACAAGATAAAATGTAATGAAAACGAGCGAGAAAAAGAGGAACCGAACGCAAGCGAAAAAGGGAGAGAGAGGGGGTTAGAGAGAAATAAAGAGGGAGAGAGGCGTGCAAAATACAAGAGTACACAGATACCACTATAATGAGTAATAATAACAGAAATATTATTATTGCTTTTATTTTAACAACACAATCACACACGATATTAACATAATTTCTATACTTATATCACACTATCATATTTATAATAATAATAATTATAGGTAGAGGATTATTTTTTGCATAAAATCATGACAACGTAGTAAGTAGGAGAGAGAAAAAACCACACAGGCAACAGAGTGTATGTGTATATTTGCAACTGTTGTAAAACGCAATCGTAAATGCGAAGAGAAAAACAAAAATAAACTAATCGATATTTTTTTATAATAACTGTTGTAATAATAATTGTTATTTACTTTATTATTACTGTATAGCCTTATATAAGATGATAATTATTATCACATGATATAATAAAATACTGAATTGCATTTTGACTTCTAGTTCGTTTATAACAACCACTTTTAAAGCAGGTCGCACTCCGAATAATCATATCGCGGGCGCTTAGAATTCGCCATTTCTTCGCTGGCTTCCTACAGGATAGAAAAAAACTGAAATTAGAGAACTACTAAATCTTGGTAAAGGCAAACGAAGACAAGCAGTACTATCGATTCAAACGTGGAGAAGCTGTGTGTTCAGGGTGTTCCCCCATTTTACGTTGCACCATGCACTCATGCTCATCTCGATTGCTTATAATTCACGCTTAACGTATGGCCGTTTTTCGAATGTACTACATAAAGCATAAGTATTCCGGAAGGAAATCATCAACAATAATTACAAGCGATGCTTAAGAATTGGGCCTAAAGACGGACAGCTTGCGAAACGAATATCCGCTTAAAAACGAATTAAACAGCAGACAAGAGATCAGAAAACGCGTGATGCGGTGGCGTCAAGCTTATATATATATATATATATATATATATATATATATATATATATAGAGGGAAAGAGAGAAAATTCGTAGTTCAGTTTCTAAGGGGTACGCTGTAAGGTAAGTAGGTCGCCCTTCTTTAGATTAAATACAGAAAAGTAAACGGGTTAGGGCAGGATCGAGCTGCTTTGAAGTAAACTTTAAATCATCCACAGTAAAAAGTGAGAATGATGCATGCTTAGTTTAAATAAATATACGTTGTCAATCATGAGTGCAATTAGCAAGGGCTAATGACTAAAAGCTTAGATGACACACATGTATTACTATTGAGGCGTTGTGTTTTGGACAGGATGAGATGAGGAAGCGGGTAGAAATACTTTTGTTAGCCGTCTGCAATGGCGTGTTCGTCTGAGATACAGTAGAAGAAAATACTCGCGTATCATACTAATTTTAATTATCAAATTGCTAATTGGTAATTATACGTAATAAATGGTGCGAATAATCAAAAAATCGTGTGGGTAAAAACAACATTTAAGAGTTACTCCAAAACAGCCGGATCCTTTGATCGAGAAAGTAGGATAATTCTCAAGAGATTAAGCGTTATTTATAAGCCACCTTAATAGCAGTGCCTGTCATAAAATTTGACATGTATTTTGGGCTCTACTACACTATAAACAACGTTCTGAGCAAAATGGTCAATCCTACAAGGAAGAGAGTAATTTTTAGTGGTGTTTATATAATTTATATAACTTTATAATGTACCACTATCGTCGTAATTACCAGCTTAATCACATGTTCGTCATTCAACTGGACTGATTAACTTATTTCAGGACAGTCAATGTAAAAACCCAAGTGACATTGATGTAGACGGGCAAATGTTGTTACGGAAGCTACGTTTTTACGGAATGAAGATTCTCAGCGCATATGCCTCTTATCAGAAACCTGTATTCAATGTATTGTGCATTCTACTTATCCGATCGTTTTCGCTTAGTTAGTTCCTCTTTCTCAGTACCTAATATATGTTTCAATATTTTAGCTTCAGATGGTTGGTTTGCAGTACGAGACGAAATAGTGTGTCTATGCCCGGTTACGAACTTAGATCACTTTACGTGTACCTAATAACGTTGCAAATAACTTATACATCAACCCTTCCTAACAAGCTTCCTAAACAATTAAGAGCTCACTTATGCATCGTTCACTTTAAAACGGGTGTCGTTATTGTCAAATCTGAATCAAACTTAGTGAATATTTGGCGTCTCTTTCGTGCCTCTTGTGGCTTTAAGTATTCTATTTTTGTACTCTGTGCTGGTTAATCTTGCGTACGGAGATGTGGGTGAGGTTTAACAGCTATGCAATCGTACATGAGCAACATTGCGGGCTGGGGCATTTTAGAATGAATACTACGATAATGTTAATGATATTCACACTCCAACGGTCCGCTTTATTCAATTTTATAAGCATTTTTAGGCTGTTGGACATCAGGTGCAGTCATGTATTATATTAATCGGTTAGCCTTGATTTGAAGTTTGAAGGACTGCTTGTGTACAGCACATACGCTACCATGGACTAAGCTAGGGATGAACATATTACAAAAGTATTTCATAGAGGTAAATCATATATATAGGTCGTAAAAAAAAGTGTCAACAACATAAAGCCATTATGTTTGATGTGGCGCTCTCTATTTGTTCAGCAACTTTCAGATTCACTGTTCACTTGTATGCCTCAATCAATGACAAAAGAAAGTGGTCTTTTGCAGACCGATTACGGTTATTTCCGCGTAATAAAAAGTATTATTTAAGAAAAATGACAAACGTCAAGCTGCGAAATGTATTTGGGTTGCTTGAGTTCTTGTAGTCGAAACGACCTTTCTTCTAAAAATTACTACTTGGCTGTATTGACTCAGATATGACTTATAGCATTTTTGCGCATGAAATTTCGACTCTCCTTTTCTATGTATTATATCTGACAGATTATGAAATTCAGCAAGACGAAATTAGGCAAAATAATAATTAAGAACGTTTTTTTTTTAAATAATTAGTTACATTTGGCACTGTATGTGAACATCAATTATTAGAAAGATATATATATATATTTATATACATATGTATACACATGGTTGTCAGTAGTGTTAGAGAAATATATATGCATTATACAATTAATATCTTTAATTCACCGTATAATAATCATTAATATACGGTGAATTAACGGGTACCATAATCTCTGTAGGCTAAACACAAACAAAAATAGAAGGAAAAAAAGTGAAAAGCGGTGTTTTGTATCAGCCTTTCGGAGATGAATCCCGCAAACTTCTTTATCAATAACTTCTCAATTAAGCGTCCCTAGGAGTTGAGATTTTACTAGTAAATATTCCAGTTTTTTTAAACACGCGTCACTAAATAAAAGTTGAGTTTACTCCATAGAGAATGAGTTTGGAAAATAAAATGTTTACAAATTTAACGCTCACTGGTCAAATTTTTGTTTCGCGAAGGCCACAGTACTACGGAAATTATTAGAAGATTGGAGAAGACATTAGACAGGAGGCGAAAGCATAGTACATAAATGATTCAAGTGTATTAAAGCTAGAGATTAGAGTGTAAAAGGCTAGCACGGAAATGACCAGACGTTGGGATCCGAAGAACAAAAGCATTTTTGCAATCGAAGATGGTTTTCACAGAAACTAAACTTAGAGTCTATGGGCTTCGTCAACCAAGTTGGCATTTCACATGTGACGTGTTACGAAGTTATAACTCAAATACTGAGAATGCGAATACTAAGTAAAAAAGGGTCTCCTGTAAATTTAGCGAATGCGTGCGCTGTATTCCACACGCAATTTGCTAACCTTAGTACAAAAAAACGTCGGGAGCGTACGGTCGCGACGAACAAGACATGGTTTAATTTTTACCGCTAACTACGAAGTTAAATTCAGAGGCAATGTCGCGCTGGTTCGGACGTGAAGCGATGGTGGTACTTGCAATGAACATCAAAGGAATCTGCTACTATTAAATACATGCAGCCAGCTATCTCGAATCCATCAAGAGATCCATGGACAATTAGCATGGCAACAGAAAACATGCCGTTTTTTTTAGTTATTATTGCATTTAGTGAAAATTCCACACCTTGTTGCCACGGCTACTGACGTTTTTTGTACATGTATCTCGATCCTGCCCAAAAAATTACCAATCAAGATTACCAAACCTTAAAAAAGTTATTTTTACTAATCAATTAAAGATCCGATAGCAATGCGGCATTTAAGCACGTAGACTTCTAGAGCACATTTGCAAGCAATCAGATTGATTATGTGGTTTAGTTTTGTTTGTACTTTAAATGTATATTCTGGTAGTTTTTTTTTTTTTTTTTTTTTAATATTTGTACTTCTCTTATATTTTTTTCGTGTTGTATTTATATCCCTATTATAATACTTTCGTACCATTTCTTGTATAATTTTTACATGCGTTCTAGAATAGAGAATGTACCGTGCAACGGTATCTCACCATTGCAATTCGTTGATTAGCGAGCTAGAGAATAGAAGATATACGAAATAACTTGCTCTTTATTTTTGTATTTAGTAAATATAGCCTTATGAATATATACCCAATAAGTGACACGTGTTCTATCGGTATAACTATGTACATCATTGGCGACAGTCATCAACTCTCTCGAACGGAGCCCTGTTAAATGAACCTCTGTCCACTTAACGATTCCATGCATAATTTGTAGTATACATTTTTTGGAATTAAACCGGCTAGTATCGGCTTTATACCTGTTATAGTCGAAAAAAGCATCAAAAGTAATTAAGGGATTTCCATTGATGCCGCATCTTCATTCGGACGCTCCATCTCCTTATCATCGTCCGCATAAAAACGAGGTGAGGTCTGCTCCTCCTCAAAGGGCGTTTCGCCACTATCGCTATCTCCATCCTTTATTTTGGCCAATGCTAGCTTAGATTTGTTATTTACTTCAACAACGTATTGAATAGCGTATCTTGTTTTCTCGCACACCTTATACAAGTCTCTCTGCCGAAGTGTAATGCTTTTTTGCAATGCTTTTAACAAGGCCACTACCCGTGGACTACGATCCTTTAAGCTTTCCCCGTGCGTCATAAGCGTCGCCTGTATCCAGCGGAGGTACAATTCAATCTTACGTGTATCCTCTAAGCCGGCTGCCAAGAATGATAAAAGCTTCTCCACATAAGCCTGTGGTAACTGGCCAGCAATCAACTCTGCACAGCTAATGGGTATTGCTTCAAACACTTCCTGCAGCAAACATTTCTCGTTCAATCGGAAGGCCAACATGAGAGCTTCGTTCCAGTTTCCCGTGCTAGCAGTTTCACGTACCTGGAAATATAAGAATGGTACGTTCAATCGAAGCTATTTTAGTTACACTCCTCGACTGTGACATATTCGAATTGCGGACCAACGTTATCCTCAGGTTCATATATGGTTTTTCAGATCATACAAATATAAGAATTATCATCACTTGTCGTTTTACTAATATTTCACAATACCATAAACCATCAACGTCATAAGACTGTGATTTTGTCAATACGACGTGAAGCTGCGGTCAGTCAATGAAGCTAAAAGCCAATTACAAAACCTGTACGTAACTGTAAAGAAACTTCGGAAGTTTGTATTCTACAATCTGATAGATTCAAAATTACGTGACTTTTCCTATACCTTTTCAACAGTGATGTCCATGTCCAGATCATATGGATCGAATGCCAATGAAGCATCGAGCGAATAACTGAGTAAACCTTCGGTGGTAACAGCTGAAAATGCTCTTCCGGTTGGGGAGAACCGTACTGCTGCCACCCGAACTTCGGGACGATACGTCCGCGTTGAGTTGTCCAGCTTTTTGCTGCCTGGCAGATGCATCTTGACACGTGATGTGGGATCGTCGTCACGTTCCTCGATCAGATTGAGATTGCCAAATTCTGTCTGTTTCCGGCGATCGAGCATATCACTAACTCCATCAACCGAAAGGTTGCAGGTGACTTCGAACCGCCGAAGTAGCACTTGTTCGGCCACATGATAAATACATATCACCTTGGAACGACCAGCAGCAAGAATACACTCGCCGTCAGCTGTGTAACACAGCGTCGTAAACGCTTGCACCTAAACAGAGCCATAATAGAAAATACGTAAAATAAAACATTTTAATTAAAGTATTTAACAAAAATAAAACGAAGTGGCGGGACGGCTAGCTTGTCTTCACTTGCGCTTACGCTACACTTAACTACTTCAAAAAAATACGCGTGGCTTGTCTAATGCGGGAGAACAGTTTCAAATAAGATAAGCTTCGCTGCAATCATTAACCCTACATGATTATAATAAATCACATCATTTGACGTTCAGCCTCAACGTATATTCACCTATCGATCTAAGAAAGCACATTAAAGTGGCACTGACAACGAATAACTATCTGCCCGAGATAACCTTCTTCATACATGTTTCATACACATCTTGTACGCAGAATTCGGACACTGTTATTTTTTCAAGCAAAAGTGAGTGTTAGTACAGTGCATTAATAGGTAATATATAATAAATAAATCCGTCACGAGCGGTTCTTAGATGAATCTGTATAATACATGCGCTGACCTTTTGTAGCCTTTTAGCTGTAACGAGATCCCCCTCCCTTCTTCCCGTGTAAAGATCGTAGCGGCCCTCGATATTGTACAGCTGTCCTGCAGTGGTTATGTCAAACACCGTAATAGAACCATCTAAAGTGGAGACCGCAAACTCTTTTCCATCCGGACGTACTTCAACAGCTAAACAATCTGCACTGAGTTGTACCGTCTCTCGAGTACCTGTCAAGCATAAAAGTCGATCACAAGCACAGAAAGCTTGATTACCTTTAAGTAGTTAGGTATTTTCGGCCTACCGACACAACACACTTCGCAAAAAATCACTTATGAACAACAGCAGCTAGAGTATTAACAGTAACTTCTACCGCTACACAAATCACCAACTGTTTTACGTAGAGCAGGAAAACTTTTCTTCCAGGTTTCATTTAATAATCACCTTTTGAGGTAAACATCTGCCAAATTTTACAGGTCTTGTCCCAGCTAGAACTTATCAGCAAGGGGGCGACGGGTGAGAACACGATTCCGCTTACAGGAGCTTCATGTCCTGCTAATACCTCGACCAATCTCCCCGTTTGCATAGACCATACAAACACTTCAAATGTGTCCTGACTCCCGGCACAGACTACCTCCCCAGACGAATCAACGCACAGCGATACAAATTGCACTGGCTCAGGGGATGTAAACGTCTTGAAGTTTCTGTATCGTTTGACGTCGGTAGCTCGTACAGTTCCGTCGTAAGAAGCACTCAGTACTACTTTGCCATTTTGCGTGAATTTGACAGCAGACACCCCGCTTGTGTGTTCAGAAAAGGTAACGAAGCAAAAACCCGTCGAAAGGTTCCACATCTTCACTTTGCCGTCATCTCCACCAGTCACAACGTATTGACCCGATGGCGAATAGTCAAGACAAGTCATATTGTTTGTGTGACCCTGCTGTTTTAGCACGAACCCCTCGCTCTGCCATTCGTAAACAACTAGTTGACCTCGGGAAGAGCTCGCTAACGCAAGCCAATCGCCAGTCAAATTAAATTCCACCGTTGAGAGATAATGGTCATCGAGAGATAGTGACTGGATAATGATAAATTCTGGTAGTTCAAGCAAGGTAAACGCGCCGTTACTGAACCCAACAGCCATGTACCTCGTCTTCGGATTGTAGCACGCAGCTGTCACCGAGATCATCCCCTCAGCCTTGATCGTGTCTCTTAGAAAGTGCTTATTTTCACGCCGATAGAAGAACTCGTCCTGACCAATGGTATCACCGCCATCGAGCACTTCTGTTGCTTCACCGGTCTCACTGTCGAGTTTAATGTCGGCCAGCTCGACACTAGACTGCCATACGCATAGTACATTGTTTCTAGCCACCGTATAACAATCAAGGCTATTGTCGGTAAAAAACACAGCCATGATTTCATCACTATGGGACGAAAGGGTATTTATTCTGAAGTGTTTCACCTTCACGACGGGAATAACCTTGACTGTCATATCTCGTGAGCCCACAATCACGAACCGTGAGTCAGAGCTCCAGTCAACGCATGTCGTATCATCCACAAAACAATGATAAACTCTTTCAATGATAAATGCCTCGTATGCGCCAGTTGTACGACCAGGCGTTTTGAAAATAAAGATTTTGTTCTCTTTTGTCATTGCGATGTGCCGACCGTCAGGCGAAAACTTGACGGCACGTATTGGTTTCATGAAGTTCCGCCGATGTATCACTGAACGCGAGGCAATGCTGATCATATAGAATTCGCCGACCTCCGTAACCGCGATTAGAAGAATTCCCGAGGGACTCAAGGCAATCGTAGTAAAATTGTGGTCGGCTTCGATCGGCAACGTTTCTGCTTTAGATTTTCGCAGGTCAAATAATGTAATCCTGTTGCCGACAGGAGACACGACCGAATTTCCATCGTGACTAAATAGGATGTTTCCCTTGCGGTACACCGTCCCCAAAAGATTGGAAAATTTATAGTTGAACTTCATCCTTCGCAGCGGTGTAACCGGTTAGCCTGCCTCTGCAAGATCTGCAAAACCAGAATAAAAAACAGCACAAATAACATCGTGTAATTCACGAAGTTCGACCGACTCGATAACATTTAGAAAGATCCAAACATCGAATTTAGATGTTAGCCCTTAAGTTCCATTAGTATTGAGCAAAGTTACAAAGATGTGCGAGTAGTAAAATACTGCCAATTAGGAATTTAGGCACTATGATGGTGTTGCATTTACAGTAACATTGCCAACAATAGCGATTACTTGACAGTTTAAGTTTTTTGGGAAATTCTTCAGCTTTGTTCTTGAATTTATAGTCATTTGACTAATGCCTGCGTTTCTTTAAAGCCATATATTGCCATGAGAACTGAAAGGATAGCCATGAAAAAGCTAATCTAAAATGTTTTTCACGTAAACATAGGGCCTCTAAAACGTTGCAGTTATGAAAAAAATGGTCAATAAACCACAGATGATACTACATTTTTCAAAAGGATAACGTGTGAATCTCGTTTAGTTGCCACGGTGGTGTGGGACTTAATCCTGCGTTTTCTAACTGCAGTACCCACTTAAATCACAACTCGGCTTGGTCCTGTTCCTGTGTCTTGTTTCAAAACTACTTCGGTTAATGGAGCCGAACTAAAATCTTCGTAGACAAAAAATTCAGTTAATTTTTAAAAAAAATTATTGAAAAAATTAAAAAACTAAAAAAACGAGCTACAAAGCTTGGAAAACGAAGAAACTGGATTCTCCTGCCGAGTTTTACCCATCTAGTACATAATATACAAATTACCATACATGCAATTAAGTAAATGTTTAGCTTGACTAGACGAAGCTTGCCAGCTCTATTTTGTAAAATAACAAAAAATGATCGGCGATACGACTAAACAAAGCCTGAACTTCATAGTAATAGAACCACAGCACTTTTTAAAGAATTAATTTTTAAAGAAGAAGACTTAAGGAACTGGCTTCAGGTATGTGCTTGCTTCTTTAATCGTCTCAATCATAGGCTCCTAATAAACACATATGCATAAGAATACATTAAAACATGCTAGAACTGAGTAGACGGCACGACAATAAATTACAGATTCGATAATAGAGCACGTGTCCATTGCTGATAAACAAATATTGATGTGTTTGATGGAGTCGCGATGCGGCTGCTCAAAGGGCGAGCCGCCAAAACTCAGAAGTGTCGAACAGAAAACCGAATGTAGTTTACAATAGCTACATTTAGTTCAAGGAAAAATCTTTCTTTTTAGAACTTTGTGATTATTTAATTTTATTAAAAGGATATATGAATTATCGTGATATTTTATCGTTACCACGAATTTATCTGTACAACACGTGGTTATTTTTGTACTCTTATAACCAATTTCCATTTACCCTTTAAATACCCGTCCCGTGCTTCTTGTGTAGAACTATTATACGATATTAAGTAAAAGGGTAAATACTACGGTGTTTATGTTCACCTATTGCAATTATTAAAGAACAAGTATAATTTCTTCTTATATTGTCATTATATTTAATAGGTGAATCATGCTAAATGTGAATGTTTTAATGAGATATTGTTACAAATCGTTTAATGAGATACAAAATATGTTAAACATTTATATGTTAAAACTATTCTCTTCTCACGGAAAGATAATTTCCATAGAGAAGAAGTATTTGTCGTCATTGAACAATATATGTGCTATCAAAAAATATCATACGCTACCTACGGTAGTGTTTTTGTTTTCTCACACATGAATTATCCGCCAGTAAACAATGCTTCCTTGAAACTGTGTTTTTTCACTCTACGCGGTGTGAAACCTGGTCTGGCGGTGGTGAACAATAGCCGTAACGTCATTTTCGAGAATTTCAAAGTCGGGGCGTACTTTTTTACATGAGTGAACACCAACAGGCTGTGCTGGTTGCCTTTCTGAGTGAGGGTCAGACTAAGTGGATGGAAATAGCCTTAGCGCATTAAATCCCCAGATTTTTGAGTAAACTTGTTAACTCACTTCTTTTAGCATATGTCAGTGGGCTGGAAGTACTGAGGTATTAGTTCAACTAGTCTCCGACGGCTATAAGCTTGCACCCATTTCATTTCGAGATTCATCATACTGCTCAATTATTTATATTTTCTATATTTTCAATACGTTACATTTTTGCACGATATCCTGTCTCGCTTTTATCATGGATAAATGCGAACCTATATGTTTCGAGTTTTACGGCTGGCTTCCAGTACGAAACAAAGTGTGTCTATGCCCGGGTTCGAACCCAAATCATCTCTCTCGTTTGTATCCCTAACCGGACCAGTTACGATGCATCTGAACTAGTAGGTCAAGTAGCGATTCGCATTCAACTGAGTTCTTTAGTGAGTCATTTCCGTTGGATTCACGCGCGTAATGGAACTGGAATGTGGTTTTTAACTTTGTAGTTGCATCATCAGCAACAAACCGAACAGAAGAGTTCATATGGTGTTTAGCGGTTGTAGGTATTAAAATGGATTAACTTCATATCCTTAAGTTCACAAACAGATATAGGTTCGGCTGGTCTAAATTCTAAAAAAGGGGCATATTTATCAAACGGCACCATTATCATTCACTCATATGTTTTGGGTTAGGAAAAACCTGGACCAAGGACAACTGCTTTATATCCCGACGACATCACGTAAATGCCACACAATTTGTCTGAATAAGTAAAGGTATATCTAATAAAAACAAGCATACATTCATTAACTGTTCTTTATAATCTCACCCTGCTAGACAAAATATATGAGTCAAAAATTTAATTACCAAGAAAGGTTATTGATTTAGGTAAGGTGATGTATAAGCATACAACAATTGCACATCTATTTTCTGGTCTACGTCTTATTAGATTTACAATTCTGCTCTGAATTCAATGTATAGAGAAACTTTAAAAAATAATTCGCGAATACCTTACCCCAAGAAGGCCAACTTACATCATTCTACAAAGTGATTAGGCATATGCCACAGTGCGTGAAAAATGAACCGTTAGTGTTTCTGCTCGTTCAAATAGGAGGGCAAAGTCATGGCTTCTTCACTCAGTAGAAATAACTAAAGTTTCTCACAGAAATTTGTGGCAGGAAAATTGATGTCGTTTTGCTTTGCTTACAACTATTGAGATTAAAAGAGAAGCGAGCTTTACAGCAGAAACGTACATTTTTAGATCCGTCTCACAGTTATTTCTATAGATAATAACAGCAATCGATACGTACAAAGGTGACGCAGACGATATAGTGACATAATAAGCTTACATTATAATAGGAGTTTCTTCACATAAATATATATTTTAAAGTGGACAGATTTTTATGTACATACATGTATATATATATATATATGTATCCAGCAGTGATTATAACGTGGGTTCTAACTATGATTCAAGCGCGTATAAATGCCGCTTTATCCACAAACGCCGACAAAATTGAACATGGTACTCTTCTGACTCGAAGCTAAATAGTTTTCTACCAAGTATAGCACATGGCAGACAGCTTTATAGATGTGTTCAGGGGGTCAGTCCCGTGATTTCATCGCGAATGCCATGCATCGTGCTAATGAAAAAGTAGAGTCATCGACGGCAAAAGATAGAAAACGGCAAGCAGTTAAGAAAAGTTTCGATTATGCTTTCTTGTCCCATCCTTTGGATTGTAACAGAATTGGTACTAATTTGGAACTGGATGCTCCTTGGTGATGGGTGCTTCAACAGGGATGTGCTCTGTGTGTGCTACCGGAACATGTTCGTGGATGTGAACAAGATAAGGCTTCGGAACCTTGACTTCAACTGGTATAAAAACAACTTTATGGACCATGTACTGTTTTGGCACATGGACTATATAGGACTTAGGTACTTTGATAATGTGTGGTACAGAATAAGGTCTCTTGACTGGCATCTTGATTGGTGCGGACACCTCCTTTGGGATGGGCACCACCTTATAGGCGGGATAGTATTCATGAACTACGTGAGGTACCGGAACAGGCTTCGGAACTGGCACCTGTTTAGGTTAGTGCACTATATAGGGTACGGAATCCGGATATGGTACCAGAATTATTTTCGAGATCTTTTTCACCCCACGGTGAGTTTAGGCTCAATCCATCCACCGTGATTTCAATTGCTACTACCCCAGCCGTGCCCACTTGCCCAGGCCAAAATTGGGTGTGCAACAGCTACTCCCCATAATGCCACTAGCATCGATGGACTACGCATTTATAGGTTGGATTTCGGTTACAAGACGCGTCAACGGAGCGAGGTTACTTGTTCTTCCAGTCGTAGGAGTAACCTAGTCCAGGCGGTGAATGGTCAGATCACTGACACATACTATTGAAATTCTCTGCTGTATGCCGTGTCGATATCTCATCAGCAAGTTTAGTACTGTCGCTCACAGAGCAATTCCGTAAGGACGATGACCGCTCCACTGACAGTTGTTTTATCTGCGTCTTATTCGATGCCCCTTGCCGCTTATCTTCGGCCCTCTCGACAACCCCATTACCTTGGTATTCCTTCGCTCCACCAATAGAGGCCAGACCTGTTGCTGCTCCGCTGCAACACAAACGTGCGATGCGCTGTGTTCTGGTAGCTTATTAGCATAGTTAGTACATTTGTAGTAAATAAGCCGAGTATACGGGGCTATTTTCTTTTTTCATCGCACTTGGATGTACTCCTAGTACATCCAAGTGCGATGTTCGTCCTAAGTTCCATCATACTGGTGGTAACCCTCCACAGGGCAAAGGTTAGACCCAGTTCGTCGCCGCATGGGGTGGGCAGATGAATTAACTTGGGTAACACGAAAACGTCAGTATATTAAGCTGCCATAGACAGCAAAAATTATAAGGCCGCCAGTTCCTTCGACCATTCAGGAAGAAATATTCTCCCAAGAGCAGCGGGTATTATATCGCGTTTAATCGAATAAGGTTGGAAGGTGTAGCATATCAGTTTGCGCAAACGATTTGCGAATCTGATCTCACGATATTAGGGCTCGCAATTGTGATTGCACAGGTCATGAAGAGGAAATCACGTTCGCGAATTGTTAATTATTCAGTAAGTTCTACGCCAAAGCATAGCACAACGGACTACCCAACAATAATGTACAACTGAAGTGTAGATTGAAGCTCTATTAATGTGTATAGTCCCTACAGACCTGCAATCAAGGGCGAGTATTTGACTTCTGCCTTAGGTGAAATTGACGGAATAAATCTGTCTTCTTAACCAGATACTTTAGATAAAGTATTTTCTCATTGCTCAATGTGTTTCGCTCAACGACATTAAGTAGAGCCGTTTGTTTCTTTTTTAGCCAAACAAGTATCCCTTATGGTATGTATGGTTCTTATCATTGTGATTAACTTAATATTGGCTCCCCACTCTCTGATCCGCTGAACGCAGCGCATTCAACATAATTTAGTGAATAATAAGAAAACAACAAAGCCAAAAACGAAAGGAAGGGTAATTTGCCAAATTGAGGTATGCTAAACACTTTTCTTGTTTTTTGTGTATGTTTCCCGTGTGGTGTAATGGAAATTCGAAAAACGTCGCGTCTGAGATTAACCTCCGAGCAACTATTAGACATACTTAGAAAGCTGCAAACAAAATTAGACAGGCCGTAGTTAATTCCACGTACTCGGTTTAGGGAAGAGAACTTCATTCCTCAGCTCTAATAAGAGATTTTGATAAAAGTGATCAATTTGATTACATATCTTTCTATTGCCTGCATGGACGCCTGTTTTCAAAAGAGGCATATACATTCATTACCAACAATTCAGCTGGAGCCCTCAATGAATTGACATGTACCTGATTTTACTACAAATCATGCAGGTATGTAACACTAATGATAGGTCTGAAACGGCTTACAAAGTATAACTTGTTATTTCGCCTTACATTTTTAGATCCGAATTATCTTGCAACAATTTGGCAACAAATGACAGTATTATTTATTCGATTAGATCATTCTCATTTTAATATGCCGATCCGAATTCACTGCTTAATATAAATTATCACTTCTTTCCTCGATAACAGTAAAACGTGTGGATTCACTAAGAGGTGCGAACGGCAGCTTCGAGTCAAGTTTCGTCACGCAACAGTCTATGAAAAGGACGTTCAATCCTTTCTCTGGATGTATCAGTAAAAGGACTAAAGGTAATCGGGGCACACCTAGCTGTGCTAATACGGTGAGATCCGCTCCGGTCGACCGTCATAAACTGATGAACATTGCCTGATGCTCCTTTAAAGAAATTTCGATTAGACCTAAAAGACCGATAGCAATTATCGCAATAAAATTCGTTCAGAATTAGGGGGTCTGTGTACCCTATAAACTATAAACAATATCTACGAAAAACCGACAGGCACAGTAACAGGTTCCTACATTGAATTGGGAAGGTAGTGATGATTTATTTATCTCCTAAGCTTAAGGGACGTGGTGGTCTAGCCTCCATTTCGGGCGTAGTAACACAACGATTTGTGCTTAAAGCCAACCTGACCTCTTTAATGCTTGACGTAAGACTTGAAACGTTTACGTACTCTAAACGTTACAGTAACGATATATCGTATCTCTGCGTTCATATGAAGAGGAAAAAAGGATAACTGAAAGTAAATAAGCCTAACTCCAGAACAGAGCCAGATTTCCACCTAAAAAATACTGTTTTTGCTCATATCTTGTTTTTTCGTGAAGCTGGAAAAGCCTGGATATATTGATAAATGTTTGGGAATAACAAGACGGTCAACAAATCAAGCTCGATCGACTACACGATGCCAGTTGATCGGGGAAGCCCAACTAGCAAGACAAAATTGCCGTTCTCCACGACAGCGCTAGACCACACATAGCAAAGCCCGTTTCTGAGAGCGCCTGTATGGAAGATACTTTAGCATTTATTAATTTTTCGATGTGTTTGGCGCCATCAGGTTTACTAAAGGAGGTCGTTTTCAGACAACCTCTAATTTACTATATGCATTCATCGTCAACTCAGTGGACCTCTCCAACTGTGTGTATACATAAGTTACAGATATATCCTTCAGGTAACGATAGCGTGACAAGGTCAAAGACAAAAACAGCGGTGGTCCAGAAAAAAGTTGCAGCTTTTTCTTAAAGCTTCTGCCAAATTTTTTTCAAAGGTGATTGACATTTCGCGAAATAATTAAAAAAAAAGCGCACTGAAGTATCCGTATCCATTACAGTAATTTCACTTGAAAAATACGTTTAATTTCATCCATTTTTGTAGTAACACCAGAAAAATTAGCGCACTAGGTCACACATCACGAACGCACAGAGCGGCGTGCACTTGCATATCGGTAAACACTGAGATCTGGCCAAACTTGTGACGTCAATTAATGTCACAGTCCTACTCACCGCTCTCAAACAGTTATTTAACTACTAATAAAAAATCAATATTTCGTTTCGACTGGGTTTTAGTGGTGTTTTTCCTGTGAAACTATTAGTCACGAGATCTTATAATAACAGTATGGCAACACTGAACTTCAGGCTAGCAATAGCCCCATGTTCATGATTGCAGTAACATGGCACTCAAAGAAACGATCATTAGCCAGCCAGACCATGACGGCCGTACATCGCAATCTGGCACTTCACAGTAAAAGATCATATAATTGCAGACGCTGCTGTGAAAAATTGTTTACTTGTTTGATGAAACAGTTATTTAGCTGGTATGATACGTCTTTCAGTTCTTTTCTTTTTACAGTAATTAGTTAGAATGTGATATTCCAAAAATAAAAACAATAATAATAATAGTAATCGCCAAGAAAAAATTGAACCTTGTCAGTAAAAAATCTGTTGCGAGCCGCTGCCCCCCGCTATGTTGGCGGCTTACATTTTCACTGTACTCTGAGGAAAGATCGCAATAAACGGCTCTGCACTGTTGATGTCATTATTACCACGTCATTATGTAATATTATCACTGTCGTCAGTACTTATGGCTAGTTTTACCGCTGCAGCATCGCTTATCGGGTGTTCGCCGCTACCCGCCGTTCCCCGCCAGACTGCCTTAGTTACGGGCATTGAATGCACATTTACAGCATTATGGCCACGAGGTATCGCGTAGGTGCATTGAGAGGCGTCTTTTTCTCATGTGTTGAGTCATGGTTTGGTTCAAGTGCGGCCTGAGTGGAGTACCCATTGCGGCCATGTACAGGTTTTACATGCAGCGTGACCCGTTTTACCAGGCACGGACGTCTAGCTTAGCAACCAAATAAACTGTAATGCCATTAGAAAATCCCATTTATAGGGGGCATAGAACGCGAAATACAACGTATGCGAGTTTTTATGTATGTGCATCCGTTATTTCCAGAGGTAGCTTAGCTCGTGGTGGGGTCACGAAGGAGGCAGAAGATTTATCTCAATGAAATCAAATACTGCTAACGAAAAAAGTGGGAGTAATAAAAATTATGATACTGCCTTTTTATAACTGTAGTTCTGGCATGTAGTTCTATTATAATTAGTCATAATTAACTGTATATATACACTAAACTCAACCAGGTGTACTACGTAGTACGTATACGAAACTAGCTAACAACATACGTTCCGAGATGACTATACGTAGTAGACTGTTAGGAGAGCTTCATTATTGGGAATCAAAAACAAGTTCAACAATAATTGTTCTGGACATGACGTTCTGAGTGAAACAAGTATTGGCCCTCGGCCAAGGCCCCCGGCATTACACTCGTTTGTCTGTGCGTGTACTCTATAGATTGTGTATGGGAAGAAGCCAAATTTCAGAGCAGTCAAACGTGTATTTTGCATGTTGAATCAACGAATGACTCTCGATCTTGTATCGCTTTCGTAAGCGAAAATAGATCATTAACCAGCGTGTATCATGTTCTCTGTTGACAACAAAGTTAATAGCGCCAGAAGGCCTTTGAGAACCAAGCCATGAGTCAATGACGAGTAGCGCCCACTGCTTTGTAATGGACAAGATAGCCTTGAAAATAGCGTTCGTTGTATGCGACGTATTGCAGCGAAACTGGGTGAAATCATGGAATAGGCAACTCTAGAATACGCTTAAATCATGCCTAGGAAGTTCAAGCCATGTCAGACCATTTAGAAAATATTTGAAGGCGAACAGAACTTATCTGTGAAGAGCACGCGGGCCTTTCCGCAACAGTTTCAGGTAAACTTTAACGCATTTGAAAAGAAACCAACATTCCCCAGAACTGTTTGTCAAAAAGTTTAAACCTTATAAGTGAAGTAAGTGAAGAATTTTTCACCACGACGATGCACTGGGTCACACTATGCTACTCGTATAGCTTTTTCCAAAAAAAAAAAAATTCGCATCTATAATCTCACAGTTCTAGTACTCGGTGTATCTAGCTCCTTGCGGGTCGCTCCTCTTTTCAAAACTTACGGAATATCTGACAGGAAACAGCTTTGAGGCGATGAGCGAAAAGGTAGTACCGACACTTTCTCGTACGACAATGACCTCGCAGATAATGTAGCAGCGAGATTTTTAGGTTCTTCAACAGCTCCTGACATATTAAAAGAAGCTTTTCCTCTTGTTATTATGGGTACATGACAGAATGTATTTGTCCACTCTCAGGGAACTAATTCGTTATCAATAGTCTATTACTAATGAAATACAGTTTGAGCAAAGGTAATAACATCGAAATAACATAACGTTTCCAAATTGTCTTACGGAGAGGACTAATCATCGCTGGATGGGTACCCGCCGCCGAAAACAAATGTGCAAATAAGTCGCCTCGGAAAAAGCATGTGGATCACAGCCGGAGGGTACTCATAACGTGGATTAAGTTATCAAGTCGGGATTTGGGAGTTTTCTCACTTTCAGTCATGTACGCCTTTACAAATATATACGTTCACACATGATAAGTTTTGATAAATACGCAGCACATGAAAAAGACAAGGCTCATCAAGTCAGCGTTGACCCCTGGATAGTCAAATCAATCTACGCATCCTTATAAATCTATCCGAAAGGATGGGCGGATAAACGATGGTCCAGTGAAATAGATTGCCGACCCTCAGCTTAACTTCTACAAAGGTATGTTCTGCGCTGATAGTTTCACAGCTCACACAACATGTATACACAACGAAATGATCGACGATAAAATTCAATAAACATCAGTTGTCTTAGAAGCTATCAGTTGACATAGTGAATAGAATCGCTAAAAGCAGCGTGTTAATAGAAAAAAAAACAATATTGTACGTTTGTCGACAACAGCTACAAATATGACGACAGCGTTAACGAGCAGATACTTCATGCATTGTTCGAGAGAGGAAGATCGAAAACGACTCGAAATCTCAACTCTAGACTATTGCTATGGCCATTGGACGGTTATGATATAATAGTACACTTTCATCCCGCTATGGCACTACTGTCGGCTTACTGTTTCAAATTTTACGTTCGCGTCATCGTTCAGTGAAATGGAGAAGGACCGGCCTTCCTGCACCGGCATTGTGTCCACCCCTGAGATCTAACGCGCGTCCCCCAACACTACTATCTACTAGTGATAGCTAATACGAAAAAATTTAACGCAACAGATAAAATATGAACGATGATAACATTACCGAATCTAGTTCAAGAGCGAGGCCGGTAGCGAGGAATAGAGGTGATGTAAAAAATATTTTGTCGGCCGGTTTGATGCGTCAGCTCACTCACACAAGGGGGTCCGCCATTCGTTGGTTCTATCCACTCTAGATCCGCTCCAGATCAATGTATAATTATACTAAATTTTGTTAAACATCAAATTAAATGCTTTCTGCTCGAATGATGTTTGACATTGCAGTTTCGGTGGTTCAATATCATAAATAAATGAAATATATTAAACAAATATAAATGCCATACTCCTGACATCGTTTTCCGAGCGCCAGGTAAAATTGTGAATCAAATAAATAAAGTACCGAACCAAATCAATCTAGTCATCACCCGACCGTTACCCCACCGTTTGTTGATACAAGCATTCCACAAGTAAATAACGCTAATAAACGCCATAAGAGGTTTAGCAGTTCCCCTATAGTCCTTTGTCTCCTCGAGTCCCTCGATGTATTTTATGTATAAAGAAATTGTCGAAAACTAATGGGGCGCGGCCCATCCGTCGAATCGCATTGCATATATATTAATAATACATTACAACGGCAACGCCAACAGCTGCAGTGACGTCGGCAAGCAACGTCACAGACGTCGATTTTAGCGACACTATGAAAGTCGACAAGGCGCCACATAAATTTACAAGCGACCCATTGCATCAAAAAAGTCTGTACTTCTTTACGACGGTCTCATCGTTAAATCCGGTCGGACCAATCAGGAGCCACGAGCAATGGCTGCTGAGTCCTAGCACGACTGACTGTTTGATCCGCCGGCCGGTCAGCCAATGCTATCCCTGTCAAGGTAATAGCCATGAATTCGATGAGCAAAACGAGGCATAAGGTGATGACGACCATTTGGTAGTCGTTGTTGCTGTTGTTTTCATTTTGGTCGGTGGTTTCCCATCGTTAGTCGTACAGGAAGATATACAAAGACGTAAGCGAGTTAATCGAAAGCAGAAAAATAAACTAGAAATTCGAAATACAGCAGGAACAAGAGACGATGTCTCGGGCCGCGATGCTGAGTGTTTGCTTATAGTATAATGTGCTTATCCTAAAGCACCGACATCTACTCCTATAGATCCAAATGAGCAATATATGCATGTTGCAGAATAGGGAGTTGGCCGACAGTTGTATTCTGAGTACGTTGACGATAAGCGAATAGAAAGTGGCAACGGATCGCTTTCTAGACAAGATAATTAATAACAAAACATATTAAAAAGAAACAAAAGGAATCATTTTAATATAGATCCTCATAATAATAGTAATAATGATATGGTGAGAAAGTAACCAGCTGAAAGTAATGCTAAATACAAACTCAGTAGGATTAGAGGTAATAGGACGGTTTTTAGTATGATCGTAATCATCCTTTTAGTTCTAAAACGTTGCAAAACAGAACGAGACAAATCGCTGGTGCACATCTACCTTATTAACAGTATCACCTTTATGATATCGACTAAAATTTGTCCACATCACTCGCAGTGACCCTATCGCCTCTTTTTAGCGCGAAATTCAAATTTTTAAAGAGGAATTAGAGTGATATATCAATAGAGCTCTTGGGACGCCAAAATTAAATTTCTTTATTTATTTTATTCATGTGTTCTATGACTAAAAGCAAGCATTACTGTACGATGATATTTAATTGGTATGTTACCACAGTAGTCCCTAACCATAGGAAGGCGATTCTCTAGGGGGTTTCGAAAACGAACGAAAATTAACGAAGACAGTATACCACGTGAGCGTACTGCTGATCGCGT